TGCATACTCAGTTTTTGTTGCTAGATATTTAGGTTATTTCACTTTCTTTATTATTACAAAGTTTTCCATTAACACTTGTACAAGTGACTGATGGTCATTAATACCTTCTTTCACAAGTTAATATAGTATAGACAGGTATACTTACTTGCTACTGAGGAAGTAATTTGACAGATACTAACTCTGGATTTTTAAGAAGCAGATCTAGATATCAGTTTGCAGGTTGTAAGGCAAGTGGTTTTTTTATCTGAAAATTATAAAACAAGTCAAAAAAATCTTGTGAAATAAGAATTACATTTTTTCTCCTTTTGATGATGGCTGTGAAAGGAACTGTGAGGCTTTGGAGAAAGGAGACGTGGATTGGAGCAGCCAGGGCCCTCCTAACAAAAGGTGTTATGAGAAAGCTGAGGAGAGTAAGCTTCCCGAGGTGCTGAAAGACTGCATGGAAGTATAGCTCTAAAGAGCTATTCTTGCTGCTCTCCAACTTCACAGGCCTGAAGCTTCACTTCTTTTCCCCTTCAGAAGAAGATGAGATTGAGGAAGGGAAAGAGGGAGAAGCAGCGTCTGATACTAACTGAGGAAGGAATGAGCCATAGCGCCTCAGAGCAAGAGAATAATCCAGCCGCCCTCAGCAACACCAGAGTGATGGCCAGACAGGCTCAGATCCAGAGGGAATCGAAAGAAAGAATCAAGCGTTCCCACGTGCCATGGGGGAACTGAGGCATTGGAAGAACAGACACTACACGCTAATCCATGATAACAGCAAGACAGAATTTGCCCTGCACCTGCTTCTCTACTGTGGCTATGAAGGCTGGGATGGGAGCCAGAGTATGGCGGTTTTACTTTCTACATTGCCAAACGTGAAGATGAAGAGCTGCTGACACTGAATCCGGAAAACAATGCTTTGGCCTTCGTCTACAGAGATAGAGAGACTCTGAAATTTGTCAAACATATTAACCATCGAAGCTTAGAACAAAAGCAAACCTTCCCACACAGAACAGCTCTGGAGTCAGGTGTAGGGGTTTATTTCTGTGATGCAGAGGCTCAGCTTTTGCGAGACACCCACACCATCAAGGTCAAGGGCAACAGCAACTGACACGGGCTTCATTGCCTCTTCCTGAACCCCAGCTCATGTCTGTGGATTCCACTGTGTTCTTGTCCCCCCACTTGGTTTGTCTTCTTTACTTTATTGCCTGTGCTGTGCGCTTCAAGCACCAGCATCAAACCTCGAGACAGCAGGTGTTCAGAGAATGCTCACCCATCTCCCACAGCTATCTCAGGTCACATTCTTTCTATGTCATTCATAATAGAAATAAAGAACATTTTCATTAAAAAAAAACACTGAATTCAGAAAAATACTTTTGGTACAGTATGTTTTTATAAAAGTAGTGTATCATTTGAAAAATAGTTACTTTAATCTGCTGATACTGTGTTTGATTTTATTTTACAGTGAAGCCTGCGTACAATTTTCACAAATCTGTATCCTTTCATAGAAGAATCAATTTGCATTTAGTTTGTTAGAGAATATGTCTTTCTTCATAAAATTTTAAAGGATACTCATATTTATTTAGGAAATCATGCATTCTCATTTATGGAAACAATATCACTTAAGTATTCCTTGAGATAATACAGTGTAGCAAATGAGAACATAGTTTTTAAAATTGTGAATACCTGAAAAGCAATATGGTGGAGTTTGGTTAGTATGTTAGAAGTAACTGAAAGAGTCAGCTGGTAGCAAGATGGATGTAGAAAAAAGTTGTGACATAGGTAAATGTAGTGGTTTTTCATTCACATATGTGAAACAAATAAATTATAAATGATTGCATATATCAGATTCACTACACAACAGCAGTAGGTGAACTTATTAAATACACTAGTTGAGTATGTGAAGTTCATGAAGATAATTTGTTTTGCTTTATTATCAGTAGTGTTATGTAATATTGGATCCTTGTCCTGTGCATAAATTGTTAAACTTAACTAAACTACAGATCCTGTAGTGTGTGTTCCATCCAGTTTCTTTATTGGAGACAGTGGAATTCCCTTGGAAGTAATAGCAGGAAGTGTTTCTGCAGATGAACTTGTTACCAGAATTCACAAAGTCCAGCAGGTGAGAAGGAATAGAACTCTTCTTTGCATAAATGTGGAAAAATATGTTGATCGTCTGACATTGGAACATTTTTGGAGCCCCTCTTTACTTTCTAGAACCTGCCAATATCATGAAACTTTTAAGGTGGTAAATACTGTCTCACTGGACTAGTTCTGAAAGCAGCATTTTGAAGTTAAAAGTTCCTGTACTGAATACTTCTTTTTATTCCTGTCCCCTTCTCCCAATCACATAATGCACATCACCATTATAGGCAGTCTCTGAATTACGAAGTTCTGTTCATAAATCTGTCTTTAAGTCAAGTTTGTACATAAGTCAGAAATGGTTAACTGTGTTTCATGTATCAATTAGTCATATGTTTGCCTGAGTGTATAGTGTACTTTTCTGTGGATAGAAAATATTAAAGAACCACTTTGGGATACACTAAAACATCTTTAACGTAATAATGCAGTAATAATAATAGTAATGCTTTGATGCATGTCACAAGTAATACTAGTATATAATTACAAACCATTGTATGTACCCAAGTTTTTATTATAATAGATTGCCAAGTCTGGTGTGTAATTCCAGGTTGTATGAAATTCATAACTTGGGGATTGCTTGCATTTTACTATAAGGGAGAATTGTTTTCACATTATGATATTAACAGTGTATTGCCTAGCATATTTTAAGGACTTTTTATGAAATAATTTCTTAGTTGCAATCACTTGACTTAATGATAAAATGAAGCGGATCTCAATGGCTAGTTGTTAATATAGCTTGTAACTTTTTTCTTTGAATTCTATTTTAAAGGTGCAAAATGTGGCACTATGCTCATTCAGGGTTTGATAATTCATTGCAGTGGCCACACAGAACTCAGAGACAATACTCACAGTAATGGAGTTTATTAGGGAAGTTAACAGGATGAGAAATGTGCAGGGGCATAGTTCTTCCAGTCACAACAGCCTGTTCTCAACTGTGCCCACAGGCAGGCCTCTCTGTGGTCCTTGGCCCCTTGACCAGGCCCTGCCCTGCTTTAGTATTGTTACAGAGATCCTTTAATGCTGCTGCTGATAAATGCCCTAAACCATAAGCTTCAGCCCAAAGCTCCATGGATCAGCAAACCTTCCTCTCCCAGTTAAGTGCCAGGAGGTTATCCCCACTCTATAAGCAAGATGCCTGCCCAAAGACACTCAGCTTTACTTGCTCTGTAGTCTGGGAATCCTACCACTCTACCTTGTACTTCCTCCTTTTCTTACCTAGGTCCATCAGGAAGAGGTTGTTTGGTGGGAGTTACAAGGATTATGTGTAGAGAGTCTTATGAAGTAATCCACCTGTGTGCTCTGTAACAACCAGGGGTAGGTGGGAAGGAGCCCGAGTGGTGTTCTCAGTTAGACGAGGCTGTCAAGATTTTTTTATACTCTCACCTGCTTATAGTTGAATTCCATAATGAGATGGAATTCCATGTTCTGGAACATCTACATATAGAATTAAATACTCCCTACTGTAGAGTGAGTCCTGGAGTGGCACTGTGGGTTAATGCACCAGATTGCAAAGCCGTTTGAACTGCAGTGTCGGTGGTTCAAGCTCACCAGTCACTTCTCGGAAACCCTATACAGGGTTGCTATGGGTCAGAACTGACTCGATGGCACTTAACAACAACAACTATATAGAGTATTGGAGTCGTGGTTTAGCACTGCGGGTTAATGCGCTGAACTGCAAAGTTGGTTTGAACCACAAGGTCAGTGGTTCAAGAAACCCTCTGTCAGGTTGCTATAAGTTGGAACTGACTCAAAGGCACTTTTAACAACTGTAGAGTACGAATTAAGGAGCTCTGGTAGTGTAGTGGTTATGAATCGGGCTGTGAACTGCAAGGCCAGCAGTTCGAAACTACCACCTGTTCTGCAGGAGAAAGATGAGGCCTTCTGCTCCAGTAAAGATTTACAGCCTCGGAAACCCTGTACAGGGTCACTATGAGCTGGAACCGACTCCACGGCACACAGCCACCACCGCCATAGAGTGCTAATTGGGTTAGCTCATATTTTGGTTTAATATGCCATGGTAAGTTTACATTCTTATCTACTACAATTTGTTTTCTCCATAGATGCACTCAGTAAAAGTTGAATCATCAGTTGCAAATGGGCGTCAGTCTGAAAGTTCAGTGTCTGCTCTGTCCGCCTCCTTTGAATCTAACAACACTTCTGAAAACTCTCAATCCGGGAATATCAAGCTTTGTGAGGCACCACCCACTTCTCCTGATGCAAAATCAGATATTGCAGCAGGTACTCTTTATTTAGTTTTAATTTTATTATAATGAAATATACATATGACAGTGACAATCATTCATTTTGAGGTTTTATATTCTCAGATCAACTGTTTTTACGTATGACATTAATTACATTTACCATGTTGTACAACGATCACCACCATCTGTTTCCATTTTTTTCATTACCCTTAACAGAAATTCAGTGCCCCTTAAAGCACAACTCCCACTTATCTCTACCTGTAATACCCAACTCACTGCTGAGCCAATCCGACTTATATGATCTTATATAGAGTTTGAGACTAAATATTGGATCAGACAGCCTCCTCTTACTCTGAGCTCCACCAGAACTCCTTCCCACCTATCCCTGGTTGTTAAGTGCTGTCAAGCCAGTTCTGACTCCTAGTGACCCTACACAGGGCATCCAAGGAGCAACTAGTACATTTGAACTACCATCCTTGTGGTTCAAGCTGACCTTTTGTTCCAGTGCACCACACCAGGACTCCTATCCCTGGCAAATACGTATAAACGTTTTCTCTGTACATTTGTTTGTTGTACATATAAGTGGAATCACATAGTATTTGCCCTTTTTAGTGCCTGACTTTTTTCATTCAGTGTAATGTTTTCAAAGTTCATCCATACTTTTTTGTTGTTAAGTACTGTTGAGTCAGTTCTGACTCATATCGACCCTGTGTAGGGTTTGAAGAGCAGCTCGTGGGTTTGATCTGTAGACCTCATGGTTCAAAGTCCAGTGCTGATACTACAGTGCCATACCTGAAGTCCATGCTTATACACTGTATATTTTATGTCATGTGAGGAGTTTCAGAAAGTTCATGGAAAAATTCCATTGTTGTTAAATTCCATTTGTCCATGAACTTTTTGAAGCTCCCTCATACACTACATTTTGCTTATCCATCTATTGATGGATCTTTGGGTTGTTCCTAGCTTTTGGTTATTGTGAAAAGTATTGCATTGTACCCTTTTTGGTATAGTAGATGTACTCCTTCACTTCATTTAAAATTACAGGCCATGAAAAAATATCTTTAAAAATAAATGTATCAGTAACCACGGCAATGAAACGATATAAGATAGGATGAATGTAACACTAATGTTCTCCCATGTAAACTATCACATAATTCACAATAAAACATTAAAAAATTAATAAATAATAAATGTATCATATTTTTTCCCCTCAGATTCATTTAACTTAAGGGTTGTCTTAAATACGTTTCTGTGTCATTTAGTGGCAGAAGAGGATAACTTCAAGGAATACACCCTCTAAAACCAAGTAGTCAATTGCACAGAACAGTTGATAGTAATTTCTGCTAATGTTTTATGAAGTTTAAAATGCTACATACATTTAAGGGATTGGTTCTTGTATTACTGTAATTTTAATTAAAAGCAAGTTGTAAAATAGAGCCTATAGAAATACCTGTATGACTACAAAGGCTATAATGTAAAAAAGGCAAAAGGAAAGCTCTATGTTGTATGATGGGGATTGTGGTCAGAGATGTTTGATATAATTAATAAGTCTTGTATTAAGTCTCATAGGTCACTGGGTGGCTCAGTTAGTTTGTGCTTGTGTATTGAATGCCAAAAGGTTGATGGTTTGAACCTATCCAGTGATCTGGTGATGGATCTGCTTCTAGAAAGATTACAGCCAATAAAACCCTGTGGGCCAGTTCTGCTCTGTAATACATGGACTGTACATGAATTGAAATTGACTTGACAGTATTGGGTTTGGTTTTGGTTTATTAAACGACATTGGGGTAGATAAGTCAAAAAGTTAGAATATCAGTAATCCATAAGGATAATTTCATTCCAGCATCTGGCAGTTACCAAGACGCTGCTCAAATACATTAAATGACGGGAGACTCATATCTTGCTAGGAAGCCTATTCTGTTGTTGTGTAGGTCTTGTTGTGTGCCATCGGGTTGGTTCCGGCCCATAGCGACCCTGTATAGGGTTTCCAAGGAGCTTCTGGTGAGTTTGAACCGCCAACCTTGCTGTTCAAATGGCTTCGTAGTCTGGCGCATTAACCCATAGTGCCACACCAGGACTCCTGAGTAGGTCTAGATTTTAGAAAATTCTTACTTATATTGAGTTGAAATTTGTACCTTTTAAGATTCTTTCAACAGTTAAAAAAACGCATACCAAATTCCCTCTTAGAAGTGTCATTTTGAGATTTTGCATCTTCAGATAATTCAAATTCTGATACATACAGAACTAGGGGAGTGTATAGAATCCATTTAGGTTTACAGAAGAGTTACTGTCTTTTATATTTACCTGGATATGTGTCATTTCTAAAATTCTTCATTCCTTCCTGAAGATACAGATCATTGCCCTTCAATTTAAAATTTTTCTCTTAGCATTTTTCATTGCATTCCGCTAGCACACTAAGAAATATGTGGCTCTGTAGACCAAACACTGGCCTGCTAACCATATGTTTGGCTGTTTGAGTCCACCAGCTGCTATGCAGGAGAAAGATGAGACTTTCTGCTCTTTTAAAGATTTACAGCCTCGGAAACCCTATTCAGAGTTGCTATGAATCAGAACCGACTTGACAACAATGTTCTGTTGGCAAAACATTCTCTTGGTTTACCTTTATCTGAAAATGTTTTTAATTTTACCTTTGTTCTAGAAAGATATTTTGTCAGAAATAAGATTTTGGGTTGGTAGTTATTTTTTCTTTTAGTACTTTGAAGATGTTGTTCCACTGTTTTTTGGTCTCCACAGTTTTCTAATGAGAAGTTCATGGCCATTTCGTTTTTTTATTCCCTGTATGGAATATATTGGTTTTTCTCAGGTTGTGTTCAGGAATTTTATCTTTCTTTAGTTCTCAGCAATTTGACTCTGATATGCTTAGGCTTTGCAGTTTTATTGGGACTCAAAGTGACATATTTCTTTGATTCTTAATGTGTTTCTTTATCCAAAAATTGGGAAATCTTTGCCTATTTCTTGTTATTCATGATTTCTGAAAGACATCTTAGTTTTTTTCTTGTTGCTTTAACAAATACTGCAAGTGGATGTCTTTAACAAACAAGTTTATTTTCTCACAGGAGGTTAGAAATCTGATTTCAGGGCAGTGACTTTTCAGGAGAGGTTTCCTTCCTTTCTGTTTTGCTCTTAGGGAAGGCCCTTGTTTCCTTGAAAGCTTCATGTAGATTGGATCTCTCTTCCCCTAGCCTTGCTTATTTAATCTGCTGCTTTTATATTTCCTGGGAGATTGACTCAATACACGCCCTACACAAATTCATCCTCAAATGAGATTACAACCATAGGCATAGAGGTTAGGATTTACAACACATTTTGAGGGACACAATTCAAGCTATAACAACTTCCAACCATGATTCTTAGGATCTTCGAATGCTTTCATAATGTAGTACTTTGGAATCTTAGATGCTTACTGAATTTTTATGCAAATAATACATGCTTCTGTGTTTGTTTGCCAACTGTGCCTGCCAGCCCATGAAATGTTTTCATGAGTACCCTATACTTTTTAAAAACAGAAATATGTTAAAAAAAAAAAAAAAAAGGACATAGTGGCACTTCTGAAGAGAACTTGTTAGGGTAGTTGTGATTGGCAAATATACATAGAAGCACACATTCTTTTTATAAAAGGCTTAGAGCCTTTACTTTAGGCTTTTAAATGATCTGCTGTTGAGTTACTTATGTATTTGGAGCTTAAGTAACCTCTTAAATGTGTGTCTTCTGCTCTTTGAAGCTTACAAGTCATTGAAGAAGGTAGAACCCAAATAGGATATGAAATAATTATGGCACCTTGAAATTTATCATTTTCCTAAGAATTCATTAACTTGTATCAGAGTTAATGAGCAAAACACTTTGTTGTTTTTTTTCACATTCATTTGGGTATTTTTGACAGTCTAAACATTATTATAATTGTTTTTTCCAATGATATAACTAAAATTCCTGAAACATAAAATGAAATACTTAAGAATAACAAAGTTACAAGAAATACTTAGTAATTATAATTATTTCTAAAATAAGGAGCTCTGGTAGCGTAGTGGTTATGAATCGGGCTGCGAACCTTAAGGTCAGCGGTTCGAAACTACCAGCTGCTCCGTGGGAGAAAGATGAGGCTTTCTACTCCCGTAAAGATTTACACCCTTGGAAACCCTATACAGGGTCGCTATGGGTCGGAACCGACTCGATGGCACATAACAACAACAACTAGTATAATAACTGGAATCCCTGATGTGGTGTTGTAGCACAAGCACTGGACTGCTAACCACAAGGTTAGTGATTCAAACCCACCAGCTGTTCCTTAGAAATCCTATACAAGGTCACTGTGAGTTGGAACCAACTCGACAGCCCTTAACTATAACTGGTGATGGTGTGCTGTTGAGCCAGTTTTGACTCCTAATGACCCAGTATAGGGTATCTGAGGCTATAAATCTTAATGGGGAGCAGAAAATCTCATCTTTCTCCCTCAGAGTGCCTGGTAGATTCGAACTGCTGACCTTGCAGTTAGCAGTCCAGGTATCATTATGCGATCAGGGTTCCTTAACTACAATAACTAAGGCACTTATTATATGTTAGTGGGTTGCACCTTGGTCTGCTAAACACCAACTTTTCCGTGGGAGGATGATGAGGCTTTCTGCTCCCATAAAGATATATACAGCCTCAAAAACCTTATATAGGGTTGCTTTGGGTTGGAACCAACTTGATGGCACACCACCACCACCATCACCAGAAGTCTCAGTAAAGTTCCAAGCACTTTACTTGTTTTAACTCTTAATAATGTTTGCAACTCTATTTAAAGTTACTGTCTTCATTTTCTTACTAAATGGACAGAAATGGAACTTGAATGTAGGCTCTGTGGCTCCATAGTCCTTCCTTTTCAAAAGGACCATTTCCATCATAAATGGAAAGAGGAATCAAGTTGGTGGTAAGGAAGAGACAGAGGTTCCAGCCATACATCAAGGAAGTACTTAGATCCTACCTGTCTGTTAGAATAGTTCAGTACAAAATCTGTCAAAAAATCCTTAAAAGAATATGGTTTTTAAAATAATCTGCAATAATTGTGTGGGGGCATTGTCTGATTTCCTCTAACTTGATCAGGGAAGAGGATCACTAACCAGCATCAGCACAAGGCCAACTCCTCTTGGGTGGAGGTCAGACATGCCTCCACCTGTCAACCTTTTTACCAGTTTTACCACCACCTGTCCCTCCCAAAGCACTCTCTGCTTCTCTGCTGGGTTTGATTATTGTAGTGGCCACATATAACAATACAGTTATGGAAGTTATTAAGGATGTGACCAAGTTGCAATTCAGGATCAGAAATGCTCAGGATACAGTTATTTGATCAGGATGGCCTCTCAGCTATGCTCAGGTATGCCTCTCTCTGGTTCTCCACCTCAGTCATTTGGCACTTTGACCTCTGCTCTGCTCAGGCAAGTGTTACTAAGCTCTTTTAACTCTGCCAGTAAATGCTCATTCTGTCAGTAAGCCTAAGCTTGAAGATGCTCAGCTCTTTCTCTGTGGGTCATAGCCCTCTGATTAGGTTCCCAGGAAGCAGCAAAGGTCCTGCTTGAAAGCACTGAGTTTTCTTGCTCTGTGGGCCGGGAAGCACACTGTGCCATCTCCTGCCTGACTCCTAGTTCTGATGCCTCCACTTCTTTACCACTTCTCCGCCATTTCTTAGTGTCTCTGGTGTCACAGCTCTCCATGTCTGGATCGAGGCAGTTCAATGCAGGAATCTTGAGGTTGTGCTCTACTCCTGGTTCTTCTTGATGGTAGTGAGAGCCACCTGCTTCCGTTTCTGGGATGGCTTATTTTAAACCTCGCTGGATGACAAAACTGAACAATCCCCACATTAGGGTTCCAGACATCTTATTTGCATAGTTTTACCCTATAAGAATACCATATCTGCTTATGTTATTAGCTGCAGTCTAGTCCCCTTGGTGGGCCACAATCCTGGTGTAGTGCTGTAGGGTGAACACTGAACTGCTAATCACATGGTCAGCAGTTCAAAGCCACCGGCCATGCCTCATAAACCTTATATAGGGTCGCTATGAGTTGGAACCAAGTCAGTGGCGCTTAACAACACCACCACCACCCAGTAAAGTAGAATGTCAGTAAGAAAGAGGAAGATACCCAACAAAATGGAATGGAACAGTGGCAGCAGCAGTGGGCTCAAACATAATAGCCATTGTGAGGATGGCACAGGACTGGGCAGTGTTTCATTCTGTTGTACATAGGGGCGCTGGGAATCGGAACTGCCTTGAGAACACCTAACAAAACCCAGTCACTTGGTAGGAGTTACAAAGATGATGGCTAGAAGAAGGACCATATTAAAGAATTCACAGCACTGCAGCCTAAGGAATCACTAAGTTCTGTATAAGCACATCCTTTCAGCCTTCAGGTCTAGAGATATAACCAAGATGAAACTTAACCTCTAGAGCCATTGCCAGAGCCACACGTGGCTTCTAAAGGTAATCTAACAAGTTAAATATAATAAAAAAAATTAAATCTTTCAGGTGAACTAGGCTTATTTCAAATGCTCATTAGCCACATGCAGCCAGTATATCGAACAACATAGAACAGCTAGCACTGTTCTTAAGTGAAGACAACCCTTGGCCAGGTCTACTTCTGCTCTATTATCTCCTGCCAGGTTGATGCTTTTTCATGTTGCATCTCTGAGTGGGTAGCTGCTTTGCTTGACATCTATGTTATCCAGATCCAGTTTTCAAGATTAGTTCCTTTATTTATTTTTAACTTTTTGTTGTGATTTGAAAGTTTACAAAGCAAATGGGTTTTCCATTCAGCAGTTCATACACATAGTGATTGCAATCCTCATAATGTAACAGCATTCTTCCCACTTCCTCCCTGTGTTTATTGTTTCCATTTATCCTTTTTTCCCCTTGTCCTCCTGAGTAATGATTCATATCTTATCTCTGGCTTTCTTCCTAGGGAAAACAAGTAAAGCTTAAGAAATAAGATTATTAATAAATGTTGAAACTGAAGATTTATGTATCTTTTGAAGAATAGCATTAACAGCAGTATTCATTTTCCTTTACTTAATAATTAAGGAGGAGAAAGTTCAAGTCATGCCACTCCCTCCCAAGAGCCTCATGACTGTTCAGATCTAAAACCTGCAGAGGACCTCACCGTCAGAGTGGAAAGGTTTGCTCTTACTTTTTCATGTGGCATTTTGTGATATTTTCAGTTAAAAGATGTTTCAGTTATTTCATGAATTTGAATGAAAGCTAAAGTTGCACATATGAAGTTTTAGAATTTGTGTTGCAGTAATTGATTACCTGACCAACTTACTGGTTCCTATAAAGATGGCATTCTGGCAGTAAAACTCTTCTGTATCTGAATGAATTTATCAGTCAGGAGGTAAAACAGTATATAGACAGCAAGTAAGGCAGTTAGTTACCCCGTTAAAGGTTCAACATGAAAAACTCCTACCTGGCAGGAGGTAATATAGCTAAAGTTGAATACCTACACCCGGCCATAACCAAAATCAAACTTAACCTCTATAGGTTGGTCATTCTAAGAACCTCCTTTTTATTGGTTGCTATTTTTGTGCATGCACGTATCTAAGTCTGTCACTTCTATCTGTCCATACCAGAGGATAAAACGCTCCAGATGGGCAAGGAGTTCAGTTAATTTTATGACTGTGTACTGAGGTTGGAATCTGCATAAGTGAATGTGTACTAAATGTCATTTTTATTAGTCTGATCATCAGATACAAATTTCTTGACACTGCCATTGAATAGATTCCAACTCATAGTGACCCAATAGAACAGAGTTTCCTTAGTGTTTCCAAGACTAAATCTTTATAAGACTAAGTCTTAGACAATGTAATTGTTTTCCCATGGAGTACCTAATGGGTTTGAACACTGACCTTGTAGCCCAGTGCATATCCTATAGCACCAACAGGACTTCTCTTTCAATTATACGGTAATCATCAAATCATAGGCTTTTCACTATGGCTCTTAAAAGTTACATGAACTCACGGTGAATGAGTGAGCAATTAGGCAGGGCTGCATGGGCTAAGTGGGGCAGAGGTAAATAATGATGTATGCACAACCTTGGAACAAGGCTCTGGGATACAGGGATTAAGGCATGGTTGGAATGGGCAAAAGGGGGGAAATAATGTTAAGATGTTTAGCTGTCCTGTTTTTTGTTCTTGGCTGTCTTTTGAATCTTGGTTTCCCTTGCATACCATTATAAAATAAGTTGAGGGGGAGAGAAAGGAATAGCCAGAAATATCACCATAGAAAGCATGTAAGTCTGTGTCTTCTACCTACAACTGATTGGAATACCTAAAATGAGGCTACAATGGGCCCAGTGAAGGAGGCTTCCTGTGGAGTCTCTGCATTACGTAAGACCATAGGTGGAATCCTGAACCCATCCAGACTCTTCTGAGGTGGGAAACTTCCACTTGAAAAGACAAGCAGACCAGCCTGGAGCAGCTAGAATAACAAAAGATAACTCTTTTTTTTTTTTTTTAATTTAAGGTTTTTATTGTGGATTGAGTGAAAGTTTACAGGGCACATCATTAGTTTCACATTCAACCATTCATATAACTTGTTTCATTACATTGATTATAATCCTCTCCATATACCATCAGTTAACAGTGTTTCTCTCTATCCTCTTTAGCTTTTTTTTTGGCAGTGGGGGTGGGGGAAACTTTGCCTTTTTGGAGTTTATAGTCTCGGCTTCTAGGTAAGGTTTTTAAATTTATCTGTGGATATCCAGGGCTCAAGTATGAGATTACTAGCAAGCATACTGAATAATCAGATGAGGGCCAGTTTGGTATGTCTGCTAGGTGACCAAGATCTGATCCTCAGAGCCTATGGTTTGGACGGTCTGCAACGCTTGGGCCGACAGGGCCTTGAACTCCTGACCAGGTCTGCACGGTCTGCCACAGATTCCCCCTTATTTATTATTTGTTTGAGGGATGCTGACTGTCTTAGGCGGTCAGTGCGAATTCCTCAGTCTTATCTGTCATTGAAACTCATTGCAGCATGGCAATAGCTCTGTCTTAGGTTGCCGAGGTAAAAGATAACTCTTGAAAGAAAGACTGACAGGAAAAATACAAAACAGTAACAGCAGTCCAACTGACTACTGACTGACTTCTACAAGAACAAGCAAGTTGCTTGCCCAGGAGATACCAAGGCAAGTGGTTGGGTCCCCTCGGGGCAAACCCCTTACAAGACCTAAGATTCAATGGGAATAAACGTTCAGACACATGCTCTGACTGGTGACAACATTGGTCACTAATAGTGGGGAAGTGAGGGAAAAACAGCAATGAAGCTGTGAGCTAAGTCCAACCACGTTCAATAGACTCCTATGAACCTAGGTGGAGACCTAGTTGGCCGGCAGTGTGGCAAGACCTGGGACTTCTGGGCCCAGAGTCAATGACATAGCCACAGAAGACTAGAGTGGAGAGTGACACATCCAGCTGATAAGAAGAAAGGGCATATGTATAAGAACACCCACACTTGCAGATAGTACCCACTTGACCTGGCTTCAATGGCTGGATGATCAGAGCTCAGCTAGAAGAAGAAAGAAGAGGAAAAAAAGAGTAATCTGATGACTTGATGTATAGCTATGGATGCAGTAGCTCAAAAGAGGGAACAAATCTTTACAGTGAGGATCATTCCCGCCTCCTCCATACAAAGAGTAGACAGGGATGAGCAACTTGGATATTGGCTACCCAAAATGGGGGCGGGGCAGCGCTACAAAGGCAAGAAGTGACTGACTTACAAGCTTTCAAGAGGGAGCCTAGATCCAGAGGGCACGGAGGAAGGTAGAGTCTCCACTGATGAAAGGAGACTAGGATAGAACTCATGTGATACAATAGTGAATAATTACTATCAGGACTGACTGTAAGGGTTGGAAAGGTAAAGGTAGACATTTTATAGCAAAAGGAGGGAAATGGTTGACTTTGCAGTCCAGGAGCCTAGGTCCCTGGGACCATCAAGGGATAAGAGCAGAGTGCAGAGAAGTAGTGACACCAGAAAGATTGCTACTAATGTTACATTTCAAACGTACATGGGTTAATTCCATAGAAAACATGTTTAAACATTAAAAAAAAGTTATATGAACTGTGAATAGTTAGTGGGTCATCAGTATTTTTTTTTTTTTTAATGTTTTGTGAATTATGTGATACTTTACATGGGAGAACATTAGCTCTACATTCATCCTATCATATATCATTTCATTGCCATGGTTACAATCCCCTCCATGCATCATCAAACAACCAAAGGGTATACACCGCAAGCCTCCCCAGTCATCAGCACACAGCCTCTCTTCCTTTCTGGGTCTAGAGTTCCCAGCCACTCCATCTGTCTACGTCATGGTCTCTGCCTCCATCTCTGGCATTGCTGCTTCTCTGGGTAGGGTTCTGCACTCCGTTCTTCTTTCTTAATGGTCCCAGGGACCCCTGCTCCTGGAATGCCAAGTCAACCACTCTCCTCCTTTTACTACAAAATATCTACCTTTACATTTCCAACCTTCACAGTAAGTCCTGATGGCAATTATTCACTATTGTGCCACATGAGAGCCATCCCCATCTCCTTTTGTCAGCCCTGCCCAGACAGATTGGATATTACATCAGGAATGTTTTTAATGCTGACCTAAACTAGCATCTCAGAAAGACTTGATATTTTCTTGTTAACAAAGTAATGTGTGGTTCTGTAGGATAAACACCTGACTGCTCACTACAGCGTTGGCATTTCAGACTCACCCGCTGCACCTTGGAAATCTTATACAGGGGTATTATGAGTCAGAACCAACTACACAGCACTTAACACCAGCATGAAGAAACAAAGTTGAGTTTGATTGCTGACATTAAGTCTTTGGGTTTGTCCATGACTCAAGATCAACTTCTTTTCAACAAAACCTAGATTGTGATTGTTCTGTACATTTTTGACAGGAGTTGGGGCAGTACCATCACTGAGTGAAAAGCAGGAGAGATCCTCTCACAGTGGTGAGGATGGTATAAATGGCATAACTCTAGAACAGCAGAAGGGAACCAAGGTTCCCAGGCACTCATCTTCTTTTGTGTTGCTAACAGCTGGCCCACCACTGTGTATTATTATTTATACAACCTATAGATGAAATGAAAACAAAAATTCTAGGAAATAGTTTGGAGACTTGGGGAAAGGAAGACTTTTAATGACTTATACCTAAATGTTGATACTAATATCTGTGAAAGAGAAATTACAGATTTTGGTCACCCTTTGTTTTGAAGTCGTCCCCCCTTATTTTATTCTATAAGTGTTAACTACTTTTATAATTGTTGTTGTTGTTAAGTGCCACTGAGTCGGTTCCAACCCATAGCGACCCTGAATTGGGGTTCTGAGGAGGAGCAGCTGGTGAGCTTGAATCATCGACCTTGCAATTCAAATGACTTTGCAGTCTGGCACATTAACCTACAGTGCCACACCAGGACTCCACTTTTATAATTAGCATGTATTAAATACTATTTATTTCATAAGGAGTTCAGGTAGCTCAACAGTTAGGTGCTTGGCTGCTAAATGAAAGTTTGGCGATTCAAATCTATCTACCAGTGACTTTTCAGGAGAAAGTCCTGGCAATGTGCTCTACTGAAGATTACAGTTTAGAAAACCCTCCGAGGCAGTTCTGCTCTGTTATGTTTGATCACTATGACTGAAAATCAAATCAAAAGCATCTAACAACAACATTGCTTTCATAATTAGCATATCAGAACTGGGTAGATCTGCACTTCATTAAGGTTCCTTCAACTAAAAAATGTTCAACATTTTCTTAGTTGAAAAAAAAATCTTAATAAATACATATATTGTTGTTGTTAGGTACTGTTGAGTCAATTTTGACTCATAGTGACCCTGTATAGGATTTTTGAGAAGTGTGGCTGTTGGGTTTGAACTATCTACTTTGTGATTAACAATCCAATGCTTAACCTACAGCACCACACCAGAACTCCATAGATATACAGAATCCCTTTCTTGCTAGGTTTTCTGTTCCTTTAAGCACTTCCTTGATCTCTGGCATAAGTTGTTCAGCTGAGTTTTAACACATACATGTGTAACCCAAATCCATAGCCGAGAAATTACCATTTAAAAAATTTGAGACATAATTCACACAACATAAAATCAGTTTAAAAAAATGTATAGTTGTATGGTGGTGGAAATCATCGGACAATCTCTTTGATATCTCAAGCGAGTCAAGTTTTGAAACGGCTACAATCGTACATTGACGAAGAACTTCCAGAGATTCAAGCTGGATTCAGAAGAGGCCGGGGAATGAGAGATATCATTGCTGATGTCCGATGGACTTGGCTGAAAGCAGAGAATATCAGAAAGATGTTTACCTATGCTTTATTGACTACGCAAAGGCTTTTGATTGTGTGGATCATGACAAGCTATGGAAACATTGAGAAGTATGAGTATTCCAGAACACTTAATTGTACTTCTGAGGAATCTGTACCTGGACCAGGAAGCAGTTGTTCGAACAGAGCATGGGAACACTGAATGTTTTAAAATAGGGAAAGGTGTGCGACAAGGTTGTGTTCTTTCACCATACTTATTCAACCTATATTGTGAGCAAATAATCCCAGAAGCTGGGCTCTATGAAAAAAAACGTGGCATCAGGATTGGAGGAAGACTCATTAACAACCTGCGATATGCAGATGATACAACCTTCCTTGCTGAAAGTGAAGAGGACTTGAAACATTTATTGATGAAGAACAAAGAACACAGCCTTCAGTATGGGTTGCATCTCAATGTCAAAAAAACAAAAATCCTCGCCACTGGACCAATAAACAACATTCTTATCAATGGAGAAAAGATTGAAGTTGTCAAGGACTTCATTCTTCTTGGATCAACTATCAACACTCACGGAAGCAGCAGTCAAGAGATCAGGCGACGTACTACATTAGGCAAATTTGCTGCACCGGAACTTTTTAAAGTGTTGAAGAGCAAAGATGTCACCTTGAGGACTAAGGTGCACCTGACCCAAGCCATGGTATTTTCAATAACCTCATATGGATGCGAAAGCTGGACAGTGAATAAGGAAGACCGTAGAAGAATTGATGCCTTTGAGTTGTGGTCTTGGAGGAGAATACTAAAAGTGCCATGGACTGCCAAAAGAACCAATAGATCCATTTTGGAAGACGTGCAGCCAGAGTGCTCCTTGGAGGCCTGGATGGCTAAGCTTCATCTCTCATACTTTGGACATATTGTCAGGAGACATATAAGCTTCGTCTCTCATACTTTGGACATATTGTCAAGAGAGAACAGTCGCTGGAGAACGATGTCAGAGAAAGAGAGGAAGACCCCCAATGAGGTGCATCAGCCAGGTGAAATCATTGATGGCGTCAAGTGTGGCAGCGGTGGTGGGGTTGGCCCAGGATCGGACATTGTTTTATTCTGCTTTGCATGGGGTCGCTATGAGTTGGCTCCAACTCGATGGCACCTGACAACAACAACATGGTGTTAGTGGTGTGCTGTGGAGTCGGTTCCAACTCAATGACTCTGCGTAGGGATTACAAGGCTGTAAATCTTATGGGAGCAGAAAGCCTCATTTTTCTCCAGTGGAACAGCTAGTAGCTTAGAACTTTTGAACTAGAGATTAGCAGCCCTACTTGTAACCACTGTGCTACCAGAGCTCCTTGTATAGATATATAGTTTTAGTGTATTCACCACTATTTAATTACAGACAAGTTGGTGTTTTGGTTTGTTTCTGTTTAGCTGAAAAGTCCATCAAACTGTTGCATGTAATTCACATTAGAACTTCATTTTTAATTCATGGACTTCTTAACAGTTAGAAATCAGAAATGTATTTTGGTATTATTAGTAGTTTCTAGTGTAGCGCTGTGGGTTAATGCCCTGAACTGCATGGTCTGTGGTTCAGGCTCACCAACTGCTTCTTAGAAACCCTACACAGAGTCACTGATTCGGAACCAACTCATAGCGATGCTGTACAGGGTTTCCGAGGCTGTAAAATTTTGTGGGAGCAGAAAGCCTCATCTTTCTCTCTCATAACAGCTGGTAGTTTTGAACTGCCGACCTTGCGGTTCGCCGCCCGATTCGTAACCACTCTGCTACTAGAACTCCTTAAATGCTCTTAAATTTTTGCTTCTGTTTTTAACAATTTCGTGCCATGTTGGTGTTTAGAGCAAAGAATTTGTAAGTTACTGATTTATATATTGTTTGGAAACATATGTATACTTTTAAATCAATATCAGATATATCAGACCAAAACCCAGAAAAACTAAAGATAGCTAGGAGACAGTTACTTAGGATGTACTCCCACTGGCTCTTCTCAGGGGCTTCTCTTATTAGTGTCTATACTTCTAGATGTTTTTAGCGAAATAAATTTCTTAAGTGTGTTTGATACTAAGACAATATGTCTCAGTTCATTTTTCTCTTTTTTTAAATACAGACTAACCAAAAAACTTGAAGAAAGGAGGGAAGAGAAAAGGAAAGAGGAAGAGCAGGTAAAATTGATGCACTTATAGCATTATTTTACCCACCTATTCAATGAAGAGTAGGCCTGCTTTGTCTCCAAAAATTAAACTTCACTGTTACAGTATTGTGAAGGGAGCTTTCTGACTCTGTCTTCATATTATGTACATTTTATGTTCTTTTTAAAAAGTGCTAGGAATACATTGGATTGTCTTCTATTGCTTACAGCAGGTCTTTTCCACTAATTATAAAGGGGCTTAAGCTAAAATTAATTTGATTTGTGGCAGAGATCACATTTTATGCTCACCCCCCTTTTTTTTTAAATTCGAAGTAAAACTCTTTTCTTGTGAAAAAGAAATGTATAGGTGCTTTGCTGAAATATTTCCTGTTTTGTTGTATTCTAATGCATCATTCATTTTTCTTACCATGTATATCTAGACTATCTAGACTATATCTTTGTTTTGGAGTTCTAATATAGAGAGGGTATCTTTAAGCCCAAAAATGACTACCTTGGGGATAACATATTCATCTTAGAAATCAAAGACCTGTAATTCTCTTACTGTCAACATACACTGGCCACATCTTAACACTACCACTGACAAAGACTTCAAAACTGGCAGACTTATGTCCTTTAACTATCCTGTTATTAAACTCCAAGAGACCATTACATTTTAAGACGTTTCATTCCTTTAGATGTACCATGTATCTAACTTGCCCTGCATTTAAAATAGTATCTGGGGCAGACTATCAAATTATGTTTCTAACTCCTAAAACTTATTTTCTCTTTTTTTCAGAGAGAAATTAAGAAGGAAATTGAGAGGAGAAAAACCGGAAAAGAAATGTTAGATTATAAAAGAAAGCAAGAAGAAGAATTAACAAAAAGAATGTTAGAGGAAAGAAACAGAGAAAAAGCAGAAGATAGGGCAGCACGAGAGCGTATAAAACAGCAGATTGCATTGGTGAGTATTAGTTTTAGTGCTTGACTCCAGGGCATTTGTAAAATTATTTCTCCATGCATATTGGCTTTGGTCTATTACAAGACAGTATATGCAAAAATAGTATGTACTGGTATGGTGCTGTAGGATCAACACTGGACTGCAAATCACAAGACCGGCAATTCAAACCCACCAGCTGCTCCTTGGAAACCCTGTACAGGGTCACTGTGAGACTCGACAGCATTTAACGACAACAACAATAACTCAAAGAATACCAGTTTCACTTTCCTTGTTTTCTTATATAATGAACTTTGTCAAATAAGTCAAAAGGCAGTTTTCAGAGATTCTTTGGAAAACAGGCTATGTATTGATTACCTAATAATCTTTAATCTCAGGCAATCTCAAACCCTTTGGGGACAAAGGGTTTAGGCACTTTATAGACGTTTAGGATGGTTTTATGGACTCCTGGTGTGGTGCTGTAGGATTAGCACTGGTCTACAAGTTTAATGCTTTTGGCAGTTCCCCACCAACTGCTCCTCAGAAACCTTATACAGAGTCACTATGAGTCAGAACCAATTCAATGGCATTTAACAACAGCAGCAAAGGATGGTTTTTCAATAATTGTTTTTGGAATTAAACAGTGTGGTACATATGAAAACCATGCCAACTTTAATGTTGTTGTTAAGTACCATGAGTCAGTTCTGACGTAACAACAACCCAGTCCAATACAGGGCTACCAAGGAGCCGCTAGTGAATTTGACCTGCCGACCCTGTGCATTATTTTACAGCAAAACTCAGACAAGTAAAATACAGCACCACACCAGGATTCCTGCCTACTTTAATGGTGTTTGCTTATTTGACTAATGTTTATTGAGCATCTTATGTGCCAACCATTGTAGAAATACACTAGTGAGCAAAATCAAGTCCTTGTTTATTCTATAATAACTTCATGTTCTTGGCAGTTGATAAAAAATTACCAGAACAAACTTTACAAGTTCTTGTATGATTTCAGAAATTTCATGTATGTTTGTGTTTCTTATTAACTTGGATTTGGGAATGTGTGAATAAATCATTATGTCAGTGAAAGATAATTGGTGTCTAATGATTGTTTTAAAGGACCGTGCAGAGAGAGCTGCTCGTTTTGCAAAGACAAAGGAAGAAGTTGAAGCTGCCAAAGCAGCTGCTTTGCAGGCCAAACAGACAGAAATGGAAGTCAAGAGGGAATCTTATAGAAGAGAAAGAAGGTACTTTATTTCATGAGGAAACATCTTTGTGTTCACGTGGGCTCAAGAGCACAGTGATTGTAGGCTGGTTTTTAACATTAATGCTGAAATAAAGAATACCTAAATAATTAAAAAGAAATCATTGTTCATAGATCAGAAGACATATTGTTAAGATGGGAATAGTCTGTAAACTCTGATATTAGATTCAATTCAATGTATAATCAGAATCTCAGTTAGCAATGTATAATCAAAATCTCAGTTAATCCGATTTCTAAAATTCCCAGGAAATGTAAGGGAATCAAAATAGCAAAAACAATTTTGAAAGTGAATAACTAAGTTGGAGGACTCCCTTTTTACGGTTTGAAAACGTACTATAAAGCAACATTAATCTAAGACTGTGCAATTGGCATAAGCATAGCCATACTATAGATCAATGGAATAAAACTAATGTACAGAAATAAACCCTTATAAATATGATCAATTGATTTTTGACAGGACCACCAAAAATTCAGTGGAGAAAGAATAGTCTTTACAACAGTGGTGCTCAGACAAGTAAAATAATGAATTTGGACCCAATATGCCATATCAAAGGAGCTTTATTTTAGTAGCATAATGTAATGGTTATGAGTTGGGTTGCTAACCTCAAGATCAGCAGTTTGAAACTACCAACATTCCTTAGGAGAAAGATGAGGTTTTCTGCTCCTGTAAATATGTACAGCCTCAGAACCCCTATGCATGGTGGCTGTGAGTCGGAACTGACGCCACAGCACATAACCACCACCACCAGACGCGATATGGAGTCCTTGTGTGGCGCTGCAGGATAATGCATCGGACCACAAAGTCTGTTTGAACTGCAAGGTTAGTGGTTCAAACCCACCAGCTGCTCCTTGGAAACCCTATACAGAGTTGCTATGGGTGAGAACCAACTCAACAGCACTTAACAATAACAGTATGCCATATTAAAAATTAACTCAAAATGTGTCAAAGACTTAAATATAGGAGTAAAATATAAAGTTCATAGAAGAAAAGGAAAAAATCTTTGTGTTTTTTTGTCTAGACAGTGGTGTCTTAGGTATCGTTTGAAAAGCACAAATAACAAAATAACAAAATTAATTGCAGTTCTTCAAAATTTTAAACTTTTGCATTTCAAAGGACACCATCAAAAAAGTAAAAATACAACATACAGAATGGAAGAAAGCATTTCCAAATCATATATCTAGAATATATAACTCATATAATTCAGCTGTAAAAAGACAACCCAGTTTAAATATAGACAGATGCTTTGAAGTTGTCAGTGATTTCATTCTGCTTTGATCAACAATCAAAACTCATGGAAACAGCAGCTAAGAAATCAAATGACATACTGCATTAGGCTAATCTGCACAAGTCCTCTTTAAAGTGTTTGTTTAAAGAGCAAAGGTGTCAGTTTGAGGATAAAGGTGTGCCTTTCCAAGTCATGGTATTTTCAGAAGCCTCATATTCATATGAAAGTTGGACAGTGAATATGGAAGACTGTAGAAGAATTGATGTATTTGCTATATGATGTTGGAGACGAATATTGAAAAATACCATGGACTGCCAGATGAACAAACAAATCTGTGTTGAAAGAAGTACAGTTAGAATGTTCCTTTGAAGGAGGTATGGTGAGACTTAGTTTCTCGTACTTAGGACATGTTATCACAAGGGACAAATAAATCCCTGGAGAACGACATCGTGCTTGATAAAGTGCAGAATCAGTGAAAAAGAGGAAGACCTCCAATGAGATGGATTGACTTAGTGGCAGCAACAATGGACTCATGTGTAACAAAAATTGTGGGGATGGTGCAAGATCGGTCAGTGTTTCATTCTGTTTTGCGTAGGGTATACTATGACTATGAGTCAGAGCTGACTTAATGGCACCCAACAAAAACAAGGACTGTGAATAGACATTTCTCCATAGAAGATATACAAATGTCTAACAAGCACACAAGAAGATGCTTAACATCATTAGTCATTAGAGAAATACATATTAAAACCACTTCCTACTCACTGTGATAAATAAAATTAAAACCATAGTAAGTGCTAGAGAGGAGGTGGAGAAATGAGAAACCTTTTACTTTGGCTGGTAGGAGTATAAAATGGCCCTGCCACTTTGAAAAGTAACTTGACAGTTCCTCAAAATGTTCAACAGTGTTACCATATGACACAATAATTCCACTCTTAGGTACAATCCAAGAGAATTGAAAACACATTTGCACAAAAGCAGGTTCATACATGTTCATGGAAGCAGAATTTACATAATTGCCGGTAAATGGTAACGATCCAAATGTCTGCTGATGAATGGATAAACTGAACATTTGACAATAAAAGAAAAAAATCCACAAGCCTATCCTCTTGGTATACAAGGTTGATAGGGACAGGCATTTTAGACATTAGCTACCTAAAATGGGGGAGGGAGTGCTATAAAGTCATGAAGTAGCTGGCTTACAAGTTTTCAAGAGGGAGTTTAGTTTCAGAGTGTGCAGGGGAAGGTAGAACCACCACTGAATAGTTTACATCTTGTCTAGATGGGTCTGGTGAAAGGAGATGGGGATAGGATTCTTTTGATTCAATAGTGAGGAATTGTTATCCTGACTAATTGTGACTGTCACAACTGTAAACTTAGAAGTTTTATAACAAAAGGGAGGACTAATTAATCTTACAGTCTAGGAACATAGGACCCTAGGACCATTAAGGGAGAAGAGCACAAGTGGAATGTGGGATCCTAACCAGAAAAGCACAACACCAGAGATGGAGGCAGAGATGAGGACATGGAGAGAGAGAGCAGCTGAGGAATCTAGACTCATGGAAAGAGAAAAAGACTGTGTGCTAGCGGCCAGGAGGCAGGCTTGCAGAATGTGCCCTGTGGTTGTTTAAATGATTATATATTCCTGAGTGTTTTTGTGTACTGAAAAAACCCAGAGGGAATAAAAACAAATACTGCGAAATGATGCACGGAGGGGATTGTAATTATTGCAATGAGAGAAAATACAATAGGATTAGTGCAAAACCGATGTGATCATTCAATTCACAATAAAAGCTTTAAAAAAGAGAGAAAGTGATCCATGCTTGAATGTCCATTAGAAACATTGAGTGAAAGCCCAGCTGCCAAAAACCACATATTGTACGGTTCATTTATAAAAAGTTCAAAATAGATAAAATGCTTAGAGATTCAAAGTAGATTAGTTGTTGCAAATGGCTTTGTGGAAGGGATCATTGTTGATGTGTATTTAAAAGATCTGGCATAGAAACAAAAACCTTTTTATTGCATACTTCTTCCATTTTAATCTTATTCTTTGAGAATACATGAAATGCAAATCTTGACTTTACTTTCTTTTTTCATAGTACTGTTGCTAGAATTCAATTCCGTCTTCCTGATGGTTCTTCCTTTACAAATCAGTTCCCTTCTGATGCTCCTTTAGAGGAAGCAAGACAGTTTGCTGCACAGGTAAATTTATGTCTTGAGTTAAAATAAAGATACATATATAGGTTATTAGGGCATATAAGTGGAAAATTTCAAAACAGAAATTAAAGAATGTAAATAAATCATAACTTATCCCCTTGAAGGAAGCACAAGACACCAAAGGTATTGTAATGTTTCCATCATGTACAAGGGAGCTTCAGAATATTTGTGGGAAGATGGAATGAAAAGGTCTTGGAATTTTCCCACAATTTTATTGTTGCCCCTTTGCATTAATGTCAGATGGTGACAGCATTTCTGCTTGTTAGGCTTATTTAGTCTGCTGCCATACTTATGGCTCCCGAGAGAAGGATGCCTGAAAGCTATCAACGTTTCTGCACTAATGAGCTGAGATGGGCAGTGTAAAGACTTACTTTAAGACCTCTGTAGCCTTTAAATTTTATTTTTTTGTCTTGGGTCCCCATCTGGGACCTCACAGGTAAGTGAAGAGGGAGCCAGACAGGAGAAAAGAAGTCCTTGGTTGAATCACTTTCGTTAAAACTTTACCTCAGAACAATTACAATTTTGTATTTTGGGCTATCTTTGTTTATGTGAGAGTGAGAACACTGAGGTGTTTATACATGGGGGCTTTAAAAAGTTTGTGGAAGAATGGAAATAAAACGAACTTTTTGAAGGCCCCTTGTGTGTGAGCAGCAGTAAAAATCACAAGAAACTGTCATTCAATATTGTGCTGGTGCTGGTAAAGCCTGCCAGTATACATTGTGGAAGGGATGACTGTTGATGGTTATTTAAAAGATCTGGCATAGAGACACTTCTACTTCCATTTTAATCTTACTCTTTGAGAATACTTGAAATACAAATCTTGACTTTACTTTCTTTTTTCATAGTACTGTTGCTAGAATTCAATTCAGTTCCGTCTAGAATTGGAGTTACATGTGTTTTGTGGACTGTTTATACCTTGAAATAGAAGGCTAAAACGCTGTAGTTTTATATCTGTGAAGAAAATACTGGTCTGTTGTAGATTTTTAACAAAAAGTAACTATAATCCAAATGTTTACTAATATACTTGCCAAAAGGTAGTAAAAAACTCTAATAATTGAACTGCAGACATACTCTAAAGATATACATAGTTGCTCATATTTTATTCAGTTTATTTTCTTTGTTTATTCTATTTCAGGAGTTAGTCTTATTATTTTTATTTGGTGGTCATTTTGAGAAACTTTAAAAAAAATAACTGGATATGGTAACTTTTCAACTACATCTTGAAGCATGTAGTTTGGTTTTTCAGTTTACATTTCTATGAACTTTAAAATTAGGGTAATTTTAATTAAAGCAGTCATTTTAGATTTTGTTGTTAAGTGCCCTTAAGTCGATGCCAACTCATAGCAACTCATAGAGTTTCCAAGAAATGACTGGTAAGTTTGAACCACCCACCTTGCCATCAAGTGCTACAGTGCCACACCAGTACTCCATTTAGATTTATATGAGTTTTATTTTTAAAAGACACCATTGTAAGGTTTTAATTTTTTTTTTTGTTATGTTACAGACAGTCGGCAACACTTATGGTAATTTTTCATTAGCTACCATGTTTCCCAGGAGGGAATTTACCAAAGAAGATTATAAAAAGAAATTACTGGATTTGGAGCTTGCCCCAAGTGCCTCAGTGGTACTGTTGCCAGTATGTATATACATGTATATATATATATATATATGTATGTTTTTTGAGTGCTGTTATTTCTACATTTGAGTATTCATGAAATTATTCCATGCTTTATATATTTGTATTGCTAATATTGTTTGTGAGACATTAGATAGATTAACTTTCAATTTGTTCCATTCCTCACTTATTGACATGCATAGGTTCCAAAGACAGAGTCACTGTGCTGTCTCAGTGCTGGTGTCTTGCCTGTTAACTCACTGCCCATTGTGTGCCCACCTCACATCTTGGAATATTTGTAATGTTGCAGGCTTCTCCCCCGCCCCCCATACTTTCCCCACTATTGTGAAGCCCATGGGGAATGGAGGGGGGGGAGGGGTTTGCTTGCCTCCCACCACCTACCTTGGGTGAGTACCCCACTCATCCTTCTGCCCCAGTCCTGCAGCCCCACGCTACCGCTTTCTTTCCCAGCCTGCTAACTGCCTCCTCCCACAGGCCTCCATGGAACCTTCAGGCATACACTCAGCTTCTTACTGCCTGCTCACAACCTCACACCATTCCACTGTTGCCTTGCACCCTCCTTGGCCAGATGGAGATACTGCAGACTGTGATAAATTAGGGTTTTGTATCAGTTCATCTAGATTTGGATTCTCAGTGGTTTGGCAATTAAAAACAAAGTGATCCTCCATGATGGGATCTAATACAGTGTAATCCTCTTCATGATGAGATCTACTATGAGCAGCCAATAGATTGAAAGGAAGTTTTCCTTGTGGATGTGGCTTGTAACATTTTTTTTTTTACTTTATTAAAATACTGAGTTTATTTCACATGTATATTTTTGTCTCCCCAAGATTTCCATGTGTCTGACCACTGCTACTACTATGTCCTATCATAACATTCCATACTTACTTAGAACCAAGCAAAGGGTGGCATTCCATCTTTAAAAACTAAACAGGCATTTTGGACAACACATTCTAGGCAGAGGAACCTGGACAACATTTATCAGACATGGTAGGGAAACTTCTCACTCAGCGTTACAAAAAAGGACACCAGAATTTCCATTTGAAAGGACGAGCAGACCAGTCTGGAGCTGCTAGAAGAACAGAAGATACTTCTTGAAAGAAAGACCTCCAGGAAAAATACAAAACAATAGAGACAGACAGACTGTTACTATAAGAACAAACAAGTTGCTTGCCCAGGAAACATCAAGGCAAGTGGTCGGATCCCCTCAGTGCAAACCCCCTTCCAAGAATAAGATTCAATGGGAATACACACTCTGTATTCGCTCATCACGGATAAGGGGAAGTGAGGGGAAAGCAGCAATGAAGTGATGAGCTAAATAAGCCCTACAATGTGGAGAGTGAAGCGTGCAGCTGATAAAAAGAGGGCATATGCACAAGAACCCCCACACTTGCAGATAATACCCACTTGACCTGGCTTCAATGACTGGATGATCAGAGCTCAACCAGAAGAAGAAAGAGGAGGAAAAAAAGAGTAATCTGATACAATTTGATGAACTTGACCTACACCTATGGATCCAGTAGCTCAAAAGAGGGAACAGATCCTTACAGCAAGAATCATTCCCACCCCCCCCATACACAGAGTAGACAGGGATGGGTAATTTGGACATTGGCTACCCAAAATGAGAGGGGGAGGGGGGCGGGCTACAAAGGCAAGAAGTGACTGGCTTACAAGCTTTCAAGAGGGAACCTAGAGCCAGGGAGCCTGGAGGAAGGCAGAACCTCCAGTGAGTAGTATCCAATCTGTCTAGGCGGAACTGATGAAAGGAAACGCAGATGGGTCTCTTCTGATAAAATAGTGAATAATTGTTATCAGGACTGATTGTGAGAGTTGGAAATGTAAAGCTAGACATTCTTTAGCAAGGAAGGGAGTGATTAACTTTACCAGTCGAGGAGCGGAGGTCCCTAGGACCATCAATGGAGAAGAGCCAAGAGCGGGACCCTACCCAGAGAAGCAGTGATGCCTGAGATGGAGGCAGAGATGATGACGTGGAGCGATGGAGCAGCTGGGGACTTTAGATACAGAGAAAGAGAGCAACTATGTGCTGAAGACTGGGGGGTGTGGGGTAGTGTAGAGGGCAGGCTTGCAGGGTATACCCTTTGGTTGGTTGATGATGCATGGAGGGGATTTGGAACCATGGCAATGAAACGATGTATGATAGAATGAATGCAAAACTAATGTTCTCCCATGTAAGCTATCATATAATTCACAATAAAACATTAAAAAAAAAAAAAAAGACACCAGATATCAACTGTTACAGAAATGAAATAAGACAGAAAATTTTAACAAGCTGTTTAAAATATTTCCTTAAAGATACTGCCTCCACTGCCAGAGATCTTGAATAGCCTCTTGGTCTGTCGTCTGGAAACAATTCTTCACATAATGGATGAATTTGGCTTCCACCTTGGGAAGGGAACCACCTTTTTCTATACTTGCTTGCATTTTTGCTTTAATATCTTTTACAGAAGATTTTTTCCTGTTTTTTGAAGGATTCTTGATCTTTTGATTTTGGTGTTGATGGTTTTGAGTTTTTTCCATTCTGGTTTGATTTTTGTGCAATTGTTAGCTGGAGTGTCCGGTATAGATTTCTTCACTGGAACTTTTTCTTCAGTTTCATCATCATCATCTTCATCGTCGTCGTCATCATCATCTTCATATGCAGCAAGCTTTACTTTTTTCTCTGGAACCTTGCAGGGGTAGACCGTTTTCCTGAGATACTTAAGAGTTTCATGTCTTCTTCCTCTTCATCATCTGACTCTGCATCTTCCTCTACAGCTACTAAGTGCTGCCCACTAATATGCACAGGCCCTGAGCCACACTTCAACTGTAAGACCACTGGTGGTGTTATTTCAAAGCCCCCAAAGGAGACCATTGGCTGTACAGACATTTTCAAAGTAGCCAGTGTGACTTTAATTGGGCTACCTTCATAATTCATTACCTCTTCTTCAACAATGTGCAATTCATTCTTGGCACCAGCCCCTAAACTGACCGTTCTTAATGATAACTGGTGCTCATTTTCATCATTACTCACCTTAAAGTGATAATCTTTATCGGCTTTTAGTTCACAACTGAAGAGATCGGTTTTGGGGCCTCCGAGGGCTCATGTCCATATCCATCGAATCCTCCAGGGGGTGATGGTGTGCACTTAGGTGATAGAGAAGAAGTGTGGAGAGAGCTGGATTGCTGCTACTGAAAACAGATGGAATCAACACCAGGGGGCTTGAAACATCTTTTAAGAAAGATAAAAGGAGGGAAAAGTAAGCAGAGATAAAAGAACCTACTACCACCAAGACAGAAGAGCCCAAAGTGGAGTGTGTCCTTTGGGCCTGGGTCCCTGCGCTGTGAACTTCCTAGCTCCAGGGAAAGATTGATTCCAAGACTCATGGAGAGCGCTAATGAATCCTGGGCCTACAGATGCTCAAAAGAGACGAGTACTTTCCCCCCAGAGCCAGTTCTCTGAATTAAGATTTCTAACCTCTTAAGCTGTGAGAGAATAACTTTGTTAAAACCATCCACTTGTCGTATTTTTGTTCTAGCACTAGATAACTAAGACACAGATGAACGAGAGAAGGCATCGTGTGGCCAGTCAGCTGCTATCCCTCCTGTGACCTGGTGATCATCAGGGCCTCCAGCATTCATTTGGTGTGGTCTGTGGAGGCGACTGCGGGTCCAGCCACAGCCCCAAATGGGGCCTGGATCATCAGAGGCACTGCCTGAGAACTTTTTCGAAGTTGTAAATGAGAATAGTTGATAGTGAGGTGTAGTTGTATAGAAAATGAGCAATGGGAAAAGAAAATAAGAAATGCAAAGTATATGTGTAATAATCCAAGACTTAATAATGTCTTTTATTTATATGTTGTTGTTATTAAGTGCCATCGAGTTGGTCTGACCCATAGCGACCCTATATAGGGTTCCCAAGAATGCTCATTCATCTTGCTTGATTTCTTTAGAGGAATAATTGTGTTCTTAGATAATTTTAATTCTGATGGTTCTTTTATCTGCTGGCTGACAGTCTTCTAAGGGTATCAGAGAAGGATCAAACTGAGCTTAAACCACTGACCTTGCTGTTCAAACAGACTTTGCAGTCCAGTTCATTAACCACAGCGCCACACCTGTACTCCTTTATATAGGGCTCTACTGTTCACAAAAGTTTCATATTTGTATGTAAACATAAAATTTACCATTTTCATCATTTAAAAAATCATATTGTGGTAAAATGTATATAACAAAGCATTTGCCATTTCAACCATTTTTTCCTACTATTCAGCGACATTGATCATATACATAATATACACCATCATTATTATTTATATCCTGAACTTTTTCATCACCCCAAATAGAAACTTGGCTTCATTAAGCCATAACTTCCCATTTCCCTCTCCTCCACCTGTAGTAACCACTATTCTACTTTTTTGTCTCTATGCTTTTGTCTACTGTAGATATTTCACATAAGTAGGATTATATAATATGTTGTATTTACCTTATTTCACTTAGCAGTTAGGTTTAATGTTCATCCATGTTGTAGTATGTATTAGAACATCATTCCTTTTTATTGTTATTAAGTGCTGTCGAGTCGATTCCAAATTATAGCAACCCTGTGTAGGGTTTCCAGTGAGCAGCTGGTGGGTTTGAACTGCTGACCTTATGATTCTCAGTCCATTGCTGACGCTAGAGCACCACAACATTGTGGGTATAGTCCACATTTTGTTTATCTGTTCATCTGTTGATGACATATAGGTTGTGTTCCACTTTTTGGCAGCAATGAACATTACGAACTGTAAAAAAAAAAAAAATGTATTTCAATTTAACTTAATCTCTGATGAAGAAAACATACTCTGAAAGCGTAAATGACTTTGTTATGAGTCAGAAGCAACTCAGTGACACTTAACAACCACTCCCTTAAGTGTCAACAAATGACATGAGGTCAGGTCTTCTATGTCCTGGTTGGTGTTATTTACTCTAAATTGGAGCATCACACCTAATCAGTTTGCCTTCCAGTAGTCAGGATTTAATTGTAGTCACTAATGTTTGAAACCTTTCTCATTTTTATTAAGCAGCAAGAAAGGTTTTTCTTATCAACACTTAAATTATATTGAAAAAGTTTAATTTTCTTTAAAAATAGTTAATGTCTTTCTCCAGTTGAGAACTATGTAGGTAAAAGATTCATTTAGAACCTTGACTATGATGTGATTTGGGTTGGTATAGTCTGCATCTGGGTGTATTTCTTCATTTCTAGGCAGGAAGACCAACTACATCCATGGTACATTCTTCTAGTGGAGACATTTGGACATTGTTGGGGACAGTACTTTACCCATTCCTTGCCATCTGGAGATTGATTAGCAACTTCCTATTTAGTAACCCTCCTCCTGCACAGACTACTATGAGAGCAACATCATCAGAACCTTTAAACTCTGCATCATCAAGCAACTCAGAAAAAAGGTATCTGTTTGTATTTCTCCCATTTGCAAAAAAATAATTTAGTCATGCCCAGTATGGCAAGGGCTCTGCTGTATTCAAATTAAAAATTCTAATTTAGGTATTTTCTTTCTGTATATGTCTTCCCTCACTTTAGAGATAACGAGAAAGTTTCAGAATATGCGGTTTTATCATCTGGGAAGGAAGCTCACTACCTGAGTTTTCTCAGTTACCTTTCTAAAACCTATTTCATGGAAAACAACTTCACCTCTATTGGTTTTATTATTTCATTTCATTGGATTTCCTTCGTCTCCTGACTCTGTATACATAGTTCTTACTCTCTTACTAGCCATCTTTTGCCTTGCCAGAGATTATATTCCATTAATTGCTCATTCATCTTGCTTGATATCTTTAGAGGAACAATTGTGCTCTTAGATAATTTTAACTCTGGTGGTTTTTTAATCTGCTGGCTGACAGTCTTCTAAGGGTATCAGAGAAGGATCAAACTGAGGAAAATGAGTATCTCTTGAAAATGGTACTTTGGACTAGTCCTATAACTGTGAGGTCCTACTTGTGTTGCTGATGCCAGGAGTTAGAATTTTAATATAGATCATATTGACAATTTAAGCTCATCCCTTTGCTTTTTAATATTATGCATATTTGAAAAAGGTTAACACAGATTGGACATATTTTCCTAGAAGGTGAGATTATATCAACTCTTCTAATAATTAAATGGCAACATTTATTTTATTACACCTTTCTTTGATAAGCATTGTACTATATCTTAACACCAATCTGATAAGTATTAAAAATTCTTGCCTCTGTTTGCCATTGTTTTTGTTGTTGTTAAGTACTGTTGAGTTAGTTCCAACTCATAGCAACCCTGTATAGGGTTTTCAAGGAGCAGCTGGTGGGATTTGAACTGCTGACCTTGTTTGCAGTCCAGTGCTAATCTTACAGCGTCATACCAGGAGTCCCTGTTTACCATTAGTGGGTCCTCAGTCTTGTTTCCCATTGACTCTGTCGATGGTGATTTATATATTGTTGGATTGAGCCTTAATTTTGGTTTATATTTTGTGTGTTGAGCAGGAAGATTAATTATATATTTCCTTCCTTCCTTCCTTCCTTCCTTCCTTCCTTCCTTCCTTCCTTCCTTCCTTCCTTCCTCCCTCCCTCCCTCCCTCCCTCCCTCCTTCCTCTTTCCTTCCTTTTCCTTCCTTCCTTCCTTTTCCTTCCTTCCACAGGAAATTCCCTCTAATCTTTGCATAAGGAGCCCTAGTGGCCCACTGGTTAAGCACTCTGCTGCTAACCTAAAGTTTGGCAGTTTGAACCCAGAGGCTATGTGAGAGAAAGATCTAGTGATATGCTTTCAAAAAGATTACAACTTAGGAAATATTGTGGACAGCCCTACGCTGTCGTATGGGGTCACTGTGCCAAAAATAAAGTCAACGATACTTACTAATAATTATTGCTGAGCTATGAATGGAATCAGTTAATTTTTAATTTCTGTAATATAAAATAGCTTGTGTGGGTTTTAAAACTTTTTTCAAATTAGGGGTAAGATGTGAATTTGGGGCAACTAATAAGATGGATATATATTGAAAAGGGAAGTTTTGAGTTCCACTATTGTTTTTTCATTTTTTTGTTTCCCCCATAGTGTCATAGAATTCTGTTAGCTTAAATTTCACTCCTATCTCCGTCCCATTTTTAAATGAGGAAGTCCTTGTTCTTAATGGTTTATAAATATAAATCATTCTTAAATATTTTTAAATGATTAAAAATTGAGTAACCATTTCTGTCAATTAGGTTATAAAGGGAGTTTTGAGTAGCCTCTAAGGCGCTGTGTAAGTTATAAATGTTTTAGTAGACATACCAACTTGCATAAGTATTAAAGGAGACATTAGTTAGCAAATGGCCTCACTCTTCTAACACTTGGTCACTCAACAAGAAACACATGGAAAATGGAAACTATCATTGGGCTGGCTTGACTTAGGCATGTTGTTGTTATGTACCATAGAGTCAGTTCCGACTCATAGAGACCGTATACAGGGTTTCCGAGGCTGTAAATCTTTACGGGAGCAGAAAGCCTCATCTTTCTCCCACGGAATAGCTGGTAGTTTTGAACTGCTGACCTTGAGGTTCACAGCGCGATTCGTAACCACTACACTACCAGAGCTCCTTGAAGTTGTTGTTAAGTGTTGTCAAGTCGATTCCGACCCCTAGCGACCCTTTATAGGGTTTCCAAGGAGCAGCTGGTGAGTTTGAACTGCCGACTTTGCAGTACAAACGACATTGCAGTCTGGCGCATTAACCCACAGTGCCACATAAACCCCCCAAATACAGGTGAAATTGTCTAATATTGTGTTAGTTAATAAAATTGTCTTCCGTGGGCTTTCCCTACTTTAAACCAAAACAAACTTGTTGCTTTTGAGTTGATTGTGACTCATAGCAACTCTGTAGGATATAGTAAAACTGCCCCACAGGTTTTCCAAGGCTACAAATCTTTACAGAAGTCACCTCCCACATCCTTCCCTCATAGAGCGGCTGGAGATTAGCAGTTTAGTGCTTTAACCACTCTGCACAAGGACTCCCTGGCAATACCAAGGGAGCAGCTTTGTATGGCTCCTGTTCTCATCCTTTTTCTCCCTCTTTTGTTATATTAGGGATCCAGTCAGAAAAAGAGTGCTAGAGAAACGCGCGGAAGACTTTAAAAAGGAGGGCAAGATATACAGATTGAGGACTCAGGATGATGGTGAAGATGAAAACAACACTTGGAATGGAAATTCTACGCAACAAATGTAGTGCAATAAGTATAATATATGCAATAATCATTGTTTCTCTTATGATTTAATTCAACTAAAATTTTACTGGAGAAGTGGTACTGCTTTTTGTTTTCTAACTGATCTACAAAGTGTCTTTTTATTCCTGCTTAGTGCAGTAGTAGATGTGGGTTAAAGTTGTCTAACTCTGAAAAGTCAAGAGATAAAATAACTGGCTGCTAGGTTCTTGGAAATGCTAACTACTAGAAGCCTAAAAGAATCTAAAGGTTTGATAATCTCCCTTCATAGGCTTTCTTATTCAGTATTTCTTACCCATTAGCCCCATGCTTTCAGATGACAAGCTTTGTTTAGAGGTGTTAAGCTCCAGAACTCTTAAAGTCACACAGAGTAACTGGCAAGTCACCGAATAATTTGACTTTGGGTCAGAGCATTTTAATGAGCCAATCAGATAATAATTTAACTTTTCTCTTCCCTCATCATCTGCAAGCAAAATCTTGTAGTTTTTAATCTTACTTAAACATTGAATAAAAAGTCTTTTCCAAAAAATTAGAATGATCTTATCTTTACTTTGAGTTTTGTTATCCTAGCAGTTTTTTGTTGCACAAAGCTTTGTTGAGGTCATTTGTCTCTGATTTTTTTTTCACTTTGGATAGTCCTGGACTAGAAGTTTCTCAGGAAAGTAGCTGACTACTTTACCTTAAATATCACTGAGGGGAGAAAATTTCTGGCATACATTGATGTTTTGTTTCTGTCTCTCCTAAATTCATTGAGGCATCATTTTGTTTGCTTAGTGTTAATGATCTTTGTTCTCATTAGATGCAAAGCAATTGCTAGTCCACAAACTATTTTTCTTAAACTTTTATACTAAAATTGCACCCTCAATAGTCAAGCTTCAAGCATTTAAAGCAAGACAAGAAATAAAAAGACATGCCTTTTACTTGTTAAATCTTGCTTAAAGATTAAAAGAGATTCTTAATGTGACTTATATGCTACTTTGCCCATCTGGTTTTGATAATGGAGACCTGAAAACTAATGAAGTTTTTTAAAAAAGAGCAAACTTCACAGCTTTTCTTATAACCTGTTTTTAGGTTGGAAGATAGCATTCCAATCTAAAAAGAAATACACTGACTTTTGTCATGAGAAGATGAAATTTCCATGGAAACTAGGCTTTGTGTTTTTCAGCTATGAAATAACAATGACTTTTGTAAATGGTAATAGTGTTGACAAGGAAAGAGTAAGAAAGGCTATGCTGTTTGTTGGTAGAAGTAAAAACTGGTCCAGTCTTTCTGAAAACAGTGTTTATCACAAATCCTAAATATTTCATACTTTTTGATCCAATATTTTTTCTAAGTACTGATCATAAATGCAGACATTGTTTAGATATAAAGATATTCATTAAGCATTATTATTAATTTTACTTAAGAACTGGAAACCATCTAACATGCCTTCTACAGAAATAATTAAATAGTTTTTGATGAGAAATTGTACAATACACATAGTTCCCAACTTATGACTGCAGCTTTGTTTCAACAATGAAATCTTAGTTGGTTCTCATGTAAGTCGGGTACCTTTTTAAAAAATTAAATATTCAATATGGCCTTTTATTGTTAGTTTCTATATGAATCTGATTTTTTAACATCTACAAGTGAATATCTAAGAATGATGACGTAGTGCATATTAGTAACAACAGGTACCAGAAAAACAGGTCATGTGCGGTTCGTTGTAGCTCAAATATATTATAAATCAGAGACTAACTGTACTAATTCAACAACTCAAGTTTTGTTTTTTTTAACGTTTAATTGTAAATTGAGTGAAGGTTTACAAAGTATATCAGTATTACATTCCACAAATCATATACTTGGTTGCAGCCTTTTCCATCAGAAAGGATTTCCTTTCATTCTTGCATTCCTCCCTGTGTCTCCTCTGCCTTCATCTTTGTTCTGCCAACCTCCTTCTGCCCCATAACCCATGTTAACATGCGTGTACTCTCTAGCCCAGTAACTATTATAGAATGTTTCATTTAGCAAGAAAATATTTTCTTAAATTTTTACTACAGTGGTCCTATATAATATGTGTCCTTTTGTGATTGACTAATTTCACTCAGAACAGTGTCATCCAGGTTCTACCGTGTTGTGTGGTATTTTGCAGATCCATCATCATTCTTCAGTGTTGTGTATACCAAATTAACATTTAGATTGCCTCCATATTTTTGCTGTTGTAAATAATGCTGCAGTGAACATGTTGTTGTTAAGTGCCATTGAGTCAGTTCTGACTCATAGTGACCCTGTATAGGGTTTCCAAGGAGTAGCTGATGAGCTTGAACCACTGACCTTGCAGTTCAAACCAACTTTGCAGCCCAGCTCTTTAACCCATGACGATTTCGCAGTGAACACGGTGTGAATGTATCATTTCTGTCACAGCTATTATTCCTTGAGGATACATATCAAGTAGAGGAATCACTGGCTTATGGTATTCCTATTTCAACTTTTTGAGAAAGCACCAACCACACTGTTTTCCACAGTAGTTATACCATTTTATAGTCCCACCAGCAGTGTAGGAAGGTATCTCTCCACACCCAACTAGCATTTGTTGTTTTCTGGTTTTTTTGCTTTAACTTTGCTACTATTAATGCTGGAGTAAGATTGTTCTTTTGATTTGCATCTGTTTAATGGCTGATGGGAGTCCTGGTGTGACACTGTTGGGATAATGCACTGGACCACAAGGTTGGTTTGAACCGAAAGGTCGGTCGGCAGTTCAAACTCACCAGTCACTCTTTGGAAACCCTATACCCAGTCATTATGAATCGGAACCGACTTGACAACATTTAACAACAACAATGGCTAATGATAATGAGCATTTGTTCATGTTTGTTGGCTGCCTGAATGTCTTTTTTGGTGAAGCATCTGTTCATGTCCTCTGTCCATTTTTAAATTGGATTATTTGTCATCTTGTTGAGGCATTGAAGTGGTATGTAAATTTTCGAGAGTAGTCCTTTGTCTGATGTGTCATTGACAAGATTTTTTTTCCTAGTATGGGAGTTCTCATTTTATTCTTTTGGTGAATTCCTTTGATGCACATAAGTGTCTAATTTTTAGGAGATCTCAGTCATGTATTTTGTCTTCTGCTGTTGTGTGTTGTGTTATTTTTGAAAATGTATTTACGCCATGTAACAGAGCCCCTAATTTTGTCCCTGTTTTTCCATTGATGATTTTTATAGTTTTAGGCTCTACATTTAGATCTTAAATCCACATTGAGTTCCTTTGTGTATGTGGTGTGAGATATGGGTCTTGCTCCATTTTTCTGCAAATGGATTTCTATTTTGCCAGTACCATTTGTTGAAGAGGCTGTCTCTTCCCCATTTAATGCATTTTGGCCCTTTGTCCAAGATCAACTGACCATTTATTGTTGTTGTTGTTGTTAGGTGCCATTGAATTGGTACTGACTCATAGTGACCCTGTGCACAACAGAGTGAAACACTGCCTGGTCCTGGGCCAACCTCACAATTGTTGCCACGCTTGGAGCCCATTGATGCTGCCACCTTGCCAATCCATCTTGCTGGGGGGTCTTCCTCTTTTTCTCTGACCCTCCACTTTACCAAACATGATACCCTTCTCCAGTGACTGGTCCCTCCTGACAATATGTCTGAAGTATGAAAGACAAAATCTGGCCATCCTGGCCTCCAAGGAGCAGTCTGGCTGTACTTCTTCCAACACAGATCTGTTGGCTCTTTTGACAGCCCATGGCACTTTCAATATTCTCCAACACCATAACTCAAATGCATAGATTCTTCTACAGTCTTCTTATTCACTGTCCAACTTTCACATGCATGTGAAGTTATTGAAAATACCATGGCTTGCTTGGGTCAAGCGCATCTTAGTCCCCAAGCTAACATCTTTGCTCTTTAACACTTTAAAAAGGTCTTGTGCAGCAGATTTGCCTAATGCAATACGTTGTCTCATTTCTTGACTGCTGCTTGCGTGAGTGTTGATGGTTGATTGAAGAAAAATGAAATCTTGGATAACCTCAGTCTTTTCTCCATTGATAAGAATGTTGTTTATTGGTCCAGTGGTGAGGGTTTTTGTTTTCTTTACATTGACATGTAATCCTTACCGAAGGCTGTGTTCCTTGATCTTCATCAGTAAATGTTTCAAGTCCTCTTCACTTTCAGCAAGCAAGGTTGTATCATCTGTATGTTGCAGGTTGTTAATGAGTGAGTCTTCCTCCAATCCTGATGCCACGTTTTTCTTCATAAAACCAGCTTCTTGGGTTATTTGCTCAGTATACAGGTTGAATAAGTATGGTGAAAGAATACAACCCTATCTTACACCTTTCCTAATTTTAAACCATTTTTTGTTCCTGTGCTCTGTTCAAACAACTGCCTCTTGGTCTTTATACAGATTCCTCATGAGCATAATTAAGTGTTCCGGAATACTCATACTTCACAGTGTTGTCCAGAGCTTGTCATGATCCACACAATCGAAAGCCTTTGTGTAGTCAGTAAAGCACAGGCAAACATCTTTCTGGTATTCTCTACTTTCAGCCAAGATCCATCTGATGTCAGCAGTGAAAACCCTCGTTCCATGTCCTCTTCTGAATCCAGCTTGAACCTCTGGAAGTTATCTGTCATTGTTATGGTTGCAGCCGTTTCTGTATTACCTTTAGTAAAACTTTACTCACATGGGATATCAAAGAGATTGTCCAATCATTTTGGCATTCCATTGGGTCACCTCTCTTTGGAACGGGCACAAATATGTATCTCTTCCAATCAGTTGGCCAGATAGTTGTCTTCCAAATTTCTTGGCATAGATGAGTGAGTGCCTCCAGTGCTGCCTCACTTTCTTGAAAGATTTCAATTTTTATTCCATTATTTCCTGGTGCCTTGTTCTTTGCCAGTTCCTTCAATGCACTTTGGACTTCTTCCTTCAGTATCATTGGCTCTTGATCATATGTTACCTCTTGAAATGGTTGAACATCGACCATTTCCTTTTTATTTAATGTTTTGTGAATTATGTGGTAGTTTATGGGAGGACATTAGTTTTACATTCATCCTATCGTATGACTATTTCCTTTCGATATAGTTACTCTGTGTATTCCTTCCATCTTTTGATGCTTTCTGCATCATTTAATAATTTGCCCAGAGGGTCCTTCAATAACAACTGACCATAGATGGATGGATTTACTTCTGAGTTCTCAGTTACGTTCCATTGATCTATCTGTCTTTTGTCGTACCAGTACCAGGCTGTTTTGACTGTTGTGGCAGTGTAGTAGCTTTTGAGACCGGGAAGTGAGAGGCCTCCTATTTTGTACTTCTTTTTTTAATAATGCTTTGCTTATCCAGGGTCTTTTTCCTTTCCCTATCAAGTTAGTGGTTGGTTTTCCATCTCTTTACAGACTGATGTTGGAATCTGGGTTGGGATAGCATTATATCTATAGATTACTTTGGGTAGTGTTGACTCTTCATATCCATGAGCATAGTATATAGTCCTCCATTTCTGTAGGTCTCTTTTGGTTTCTTGTGTTTTGTAAGTTTAGTTGCTTAGGTCTTTTGTTTATCTGAATACATTTATTCCCAAGTATTTCATCTTTTGGCTATTGTATTACCATATACCATTTGTTTTCCTTATTTTCTTTCCAGAGTGCTCAACAATTTAACATACCTTTCTTGACTACCTACTGTGTGTATAGGGGAAGACAAGGCAGTATACAGAGTTGTTGGTACAGTATGATCTCAGTTTTGTAAACACATTTTACATACAGATAGTACTACATATTAATATATAAACAAAAAAGAACACACCAAAATATTATGTGATTATATGTGATTTTAGTTTTACATGTTTTCCCAATTTTCTATAATAATCATACTACTTTTTAGTCAAAACAGTGAGCTTGAAAAAGAAAAGTCTCCAGCAACCTCATTTTAAGTAATGGTTTGTTGTGTTTCAGTAAATATGGTGAATCACAACAAACCAAAAACATGTCAAGTGGGTGTGACCCTGATAACTATTAGAAATACATTTACAAAAATATCAAGTACCTCAAATCAGTTAGCCTTGAGAAAAGTCAAAGATGTCATAAATCTTAAGTATTATACATAATAAAGGGGTTCAAAATGTGTGAGTAGGAGGATTCCTCCTCAATTTTATATTTTAGTGATGAGTGTAAATTGTAAAAAATTCAAAACAGTGCAGAAGGCCATAAAATGAAAATGACGTCTCCTTGCTGGCTTCTTACCCTCCATGTTATTCCCCAGAGATAACCTTTTAACAGTTTCTTATCTAATATTCACAAACTTTTATGCATATATAAGCAAATATGTAATCTTTATTTTTAAAATAAATGGGATCATATTATATATACTACCTGCATCTTGCTTTTTTACTCAGCCTTGAAGATCTTTCCCTGTCAACACATAGCTACCTCAGGGTAATGGCTGAATAGCATTCTGCTTTAGGAATGCACCCGTTATCCAGATCTCTGGTGGTGTACATTAAGGCTGTTATAACTTTTTTGTTTCTTAATACAAAGATTGGTTCAATGAGCATTCTTGGGGAGTTACCATCTTAGTTTTGAAACTATACTCATACATTAACTTGAAAAAGCAAAGGACATTTACTGTTTTTATTATGAAAGATACTGTCCAGTTGCCCCCTCCAAAGGCTGTATGCAGTACACTCCCACCAACAGTGTAGAAGAATCTTGATTTTCCCACTTCCTTGCCAACACTCTTTTATACATTGTCATCTTTGTCAATCTGATAGATGAATTGTATGCATTTTATATTCATTATGTTTATCATAAATGAACTTGAGCATCATTTAATATTGGCCATTTGAGTTTTCTGAGAACTAGCTATTTGTATTATTTGTCAATATTGTGTGTGGTTCATGTTTTTGTATTGATTTACAAGAATTCCATGTATATTGAGAAAATTAACCCTTTGTCTAGCAGATGCTGTAAATAATTTTCTCTGTCTTCTGACAAGTATGTTCATGGTACTTTTCCCACAATATTTATGTGGTCAGATTTGTCAGTGTTTTTCTTAAAAGCTTCTTGGTTTTGAGTGTTGCTTAGAATTTTCCTTTTCAAAATTTAATTTAAAAAACAACACAAGAACCACCCTACTGTTCTCATGGTTTCATTTTTTATGTTTAATCTAGTATTCAGTGAAGGGCTCTTCTCACCCATACCCATTGCTAACATCCTCAAGAATTAACTTCTTGACCCACCACAATTTATGGAATAATGTATCTTTCTCTGGACTTGACCTGCCACTTTTTTCAGTTACTTCATTCCCGTTCGTAGGTGGATTTATTCTCTGCTATACCAATGTACTTTCATATCTTTTACCCCAGAATTATCTTGGCTAGTCTCAAGTTTATTTAATACATGAATTTTTACATGATTTTGTCTGTTCTCCTCCAAAAGAATCGTTGTCGTCCTAAGACAGCTCTGAACCAGTGATTTTATGTTGGAGAGAATAACATGTTGCCCAGTATGATGCTGTCTTAAAGATCTTGATATATTTGAGCCCATTGTTTCTTCTAAAGTCATATCGATACTTATGTTGAATTGCATTGAATTTTGAGATTTAGGTATAACTGACAGATTTTCATATGATTCTATGTCCAGGAAATGTCTTTAACAAGACAGATGTTTGTGTGTGTATATATACATATATATGTTTGTGTATATTGATGGAGAAAAATACTGCTAGATTAGGACCCACAAGAGTGGATTATTTTGACAGGAACTTGCCGTAGACCTTACAATTCAGGTAAGGGTTTCTTAAAAGAAACAGAAGTTTTCAAGCAGTTCACTCTATTAAAACTAGTTAAAAAACAACTCTTTCTTAAAAGGATATTCTACCAGATATCTAGAAACAATATATGGGCCAAATAAGTTTTTAAGTATCACACTGAGCCTGTCTCAGTTATACATTTGTTGTTGTTAAGTGCCATTGAGTCGGGTCCGACCCATAGCGACCCTGTACAGGGTTTCCAAGGGTGTAAATCTTTACGGGAGTAGAAAGCCTCATCTTTCTCAGTTATACATAGAAACATGCTTTTATGGTCCACTACTCTTTTGGGTATGCTTGTGAATGGATAATCACAAAAAAGGAGCAGGTGTGCTTCCTTGCACTCTATCTCCAAAATATGCTTGCAAAAGACAGTGAGACGTGGTACGTGGTCTCAAGCAGTGACTAGCAGAGAAACATGCAAACAATTCTGGTATAATGTGGCCAGGCTGTAAGAGGATTATCTACTAGTAGAGGAAGCCAGATAGGCTTTGAAAATGGTGCTGTACAATAAGCACTGGATTGCTAGCTACAAGGTTGTCGGTTAAAGCCCACCAGCTGCTCCTCAGAAACCTTATACCTGGTTGCTGTGAGTTAGAACCAACTCCACGGCACTTAACAAGCAGAGGAGAAAGTGCATAGTACATGTAATCATAGGAAACTAATGTCTAAGGGGTGTGTGGTTTGCAAAAATCTTGTAACTCAGGCATTTTCTGCATAAAAATACAGTGTATTGTTTGAGAGTTGAAGGTATTTACAGAAGAAAGGGCATTTTAGAAAGTAGTAGCTTTTGCAAAGACACAAATATGGCCCAGGACTTTTTGCAATTCAAGACCTATCAGAAATGAAAGGCAGATTGCATGGACCTTATGAGCCATGCTTACACTTCTTAGAAGTTGTTCAATTGGTGTGGAAAGCCAAGAAGGACATAAAAGGTGTTGGGGGGGGGGGTTGGGAGAGAGGCTATGTGGGGAGCAGGGAATAACGCATAATTCAAAGTTCATCCCTTTCTGTGCTGTGATATCTCCAAGAAGTCCTAGTGGCTCCGTGAGTTCAATAGTGGGTTGCCTATTACAAGGTCAGCAGTTCAAACCCACCAGATGTTCCTCAGAAGAAGGATAACCCTGTCTGCTCCTGGAAATATTTACATCCTTGGGAAAGTTCTTCTCTGTATTAAGGATCACGTAAGTCAGAATTGATTCCATAGCGGTGGGGGTTTCTTTGGGTGCTGTCTCTGCCCTTTGGTTTAGTGGGAAAGCTTTGTAAAATTCCTAAATGTCTGTGTGATTTCATAGCTTCCATTGTACCTAATTTTTCAAGGAGACAACCCTGGAGATAGCATAAGATCACATTACCATTTTTATTTTCTGAGAAACAGGTATGAAATATAAAGAACTTTCAGGAGAAGACATTGAAGTCCCATCTATCCATTGGAACTGATTTTTTTATTAAAAAGGACTGCTGTGGTCTACTTTGAATCAACTCAACAGCACTTAATAATTGTCTACGTTAAAATTTAATCTGCAACAAAGGAGCGCTGGTAGTGTAGTGGATTACAAGCTGAGCTGCTAAATGCAAGGTCAGTAGTTCAAACCTACCAGCTGCTCCTTGGGAGAAAGATGAGACTTTCTGCTCCTGTAAAGACTAACAGCCTCAGAAACCCTATACAGAGTTACTATGAGTCAGAATCAACTTGGTGGCACATGACAACCACCAGTCTGCAATAACCTGACCCAGTTAAGTGGCTCTTAGACCAGTAAGTAAACTAGTTCCTGCACATTTCCACAAGAGCCACCTGCAGACTCGTCTCATCCCAAATGAATTTCCAATACAGGGGTAAGATGCAGATGTTTCCATTTTAATCAGGGACTTTAAATCCTTTTAGATCAAAGTAATTTCTAACAATGCAGAAGGCCTTGATGAAATCCAGTATGGGCAGAATTATAAGATCTTAAGGAGTTTTGTGGGTGACATAGGCACACAAACTAGACCTACATCATAGAATTTGGGGAAGTAGATCAGAAGGAAGAGAAATGACTCAATTCATGTTGACTTTGCTGTTTCTTTTGCTTGGAACACTTAGAGGATTTGTATGACAGAAATGCCACGGTACCAGCTCCAAAAAGTACAAGAGCAAAAAGTATGTACAAAGCTGTTTGTGCTTCTGCCATTCCTAGTTTTAGTCCCAGGAACCAAACTTTCTCCTCGCTCATGGGACTGATGGTGGGAACAGCATCTAGAAGACAACAAATTATGGTCTGTGAGACAGTACCAATGCAACGTTGGGTCTAAAATAACTTGTATTTCTACATTACGCCCAAGCTAAAAACCCACTGCTGTCAAGTCACTACCCTAGGATAGAGTATAACTGCCACATCATTCTCCCACAGAGTGGCGGGTAGATTCAAACCACAGTCGAGCACTTAACCACTGTACCACCAGAGCTCAGGCCAAGGTGTTAAGTGCTGTTGAGTCAGTTCCCACTCATAGTGACACTGTGTAGGGTTTCCATGGAGTGGGTAGTGCTTTGAACCACTGACTTAGTGGTTAGCAGCCTAGTGCTTTTACAGCATCACACTAGGACTCCAAGATAGATGTTTGGAACTCAGAGTAAGTTCACTGCTGTGGGTGAAAGTGCACATTCTCTTTCACTGTATCCTATGTTTGTCTGAATGAGGTTAAATCTGTCAGCTCTAGAGGGAGTGCTGTGACTCTGTAGGACAAGCACTGGACTATAAAGTCAGCGGTTCAAGGCCACCAGCCACTCTGGGAGAAAAAAATGAGGCTTTCTGTTCCCACAAAGCCTTGGAAATCCTATAGGGTCACTATGAGCTAGAAGCAACTCGACAGCACTTACCAACAATAACAATTAGCAACTGAGGAGCCCTGGTGGTGCTGCAGAGTAAGCACTAGACCTTTTACCATAAGGTCAGCAGTTCGAATCAGCCACTCCCATAAAGATTTATAGCCTTGGAAACCTTATATAGGGTCTCCATAAGTCAGAATTGACTTGATGGCAGGGAGATCACCAATTAGAATAAAATTTAAATTTTATAACAGTCTCATATTTGTATAGTAAATTATAATTTTTCAGTCTTTCAGCAAATTTTAGGTACCTGCATTGTGATAGTCACTGTACTTTCACAATCATTTTCTTTGATCCTAGTAACTGCCTAATCATTTGCTTATGCCTAAGATCATAATGAATGAGTAGTAGAGTTGGAAGGAGATGGTAGACCAATTAGGTCCTAGACCAGAGCTCTGGTTCTTAGGGGTGACATTAACTCCAATTGTACTTGCTTCCATCACAGTGTTGAGCATTCAAAGGAAATGAATTGGCTGAATGAAAAGAGGAATGAAGAAGCAGGGAAGAAGGCAATAAAACAGAAAAATTTATACTGGAAAAGTCCCAGGGCTTTAGTCCCTCCTAGAGCTACCTCTCACCTGGCTGGAGACATGGGTGAGACCCAGCAGCAGGGTCAGGGAAACCATTGCACCGGGTTATGGAGGCGAAGAGCTTGGTGGATTCTCTGGGGATTCTTGACAGAGAAGGGTCACTGAAGTTCACATAGTGCAGCCCAAACCTTTCGGCAAAGCCTGTGGCCCACTCCAAGTTGTCCATCAAACTCCAAACTGTATATCCTCGGATGTCCACCTTATCCTGCACAGCTGTCCAAACAGAGGTCAGGTATGAGCTTTGCTTGTCATATATGACATTTCTCCCCATCTTATTGAAGCCAGTGTCACTCCACAGCTTTTTCACCTGATCTGCCAGATCCAGGTGAGTTTTGTGGTAATTAGATATAATTGTCGACTGTTCTCTGTGGCTGGTGCTGCAGAGCTACTGGCATCTTTCTAGAAAGACCTAGCCTGAATAAGAATCTAAAGTACTCTCACTTGGTCATCTAAATTCCTCTCTATCTCAGGATGTTGGTCTTGGTCCATAGATGCTCCTCACGATAGAAAGTAAGTGGTCTTTAATAGAAAACCCTTTGGCAGGAATAAATAAACACCAAACTCACTGTCATCAAGTCGATTCCGACTAATAGTGACCCTATGTAGAGTTTCCAAGACTATGTTGTTAAGGGAGCAGACAGGCTTATCTGTCTCCTGTTGAGCGGCTGCTGGGTCTGAACAGCCAACCCTGTGGTTAGTAGCCCACCTGGGCAGGAATAGATTTTCCTGTCTCCTGTGGCTGATGCATTCCTCACTTCATTACTTACTGTTCCCTCACTCTCACAGTCCCATCCCAAATTGTGCTGAGTTTTAAGATCTCACACTTTTCACCTGGGAAACAAAAGAGCTACAAACACCCAACTACTACTAGCCCCTGTTCAAACCCTGCCCCGGGTAGCACTGTTGTCTAGAGACAAGAAGGGGGAACCATATGACTCAGAACAGGAATTAAGGTCTAGCTAATATCAGTCAAGTGAGTTTGCTTGCTCGCTGCATTTAGGAGGAATAAAACTCAAGAGTGTAACCTACACAGAAGGCTATGCCCAGTAGTAGAGTGAATCTAGCTAATATTGGATGCAGGAGCAGCTCCTGAGTACAGTATTAACCGAATGCAGGCATCTACATCTGCCGTAGAGGGAGAGTATACCTGCCATACCTTTGAGCATCTCGTTGATGTAACTGCGGAGGTAGTAGATCCTCGCAGTGTCATTGAGGTCTGCTTCTCCCCGCTTAGACACTCCGTTCTCCGTTATATAAATCACTGGGTTGTTGTATTCCTCCTTTAACCAGTTTAGGATCCTCCTGAAGCCAAAAGGTGTCATCTTTAGCCAGAAGGAGCCAGAATCTGGCCAGGATCTGTCTGTGATGGAAGCAACTCCCCTAGGAGTTAAAAAATCTAAAATTAGGTCTCGTTTTGTGACTCGCAAGAGGTCCTTAGGACAAAACATGAAACATGATTTATACTAGGGAAAACTTTAGCTTTTGTCTACCGGTGAGTGTCTTAACTAAACTCAAAGAGTATTTTTGCCTCCAAGTTTTTTTTTACTAGTTGTACCACTCAAAGCTGGTGTAAGTTTGAAAAAGCCAGTTAAGCCTTTGTTCTTTCAAGGGCTCTCTTGAACATACATACCACAGTAGATGTTAGGCTCTGGATTTCCCTAGCTACAATCTTCCAGTGGCATGCAAGGACTATGTCTTCAGGGAACAGGTCCTGTGAGTCTACCTGTGTCTAGTCAACACCACACAAAGGCTGTAGGTACAGCCATGGGCATCAGATATGGGATTCTCATTTGTGTCAGTGCTTCCAGCATTGTATCAGTTTATTGAAACATCTCAATTAATATTCTGTGTGTCAGTTTATTTAAACATCTCAATTAATATTCTGTGACCTGGAAGTGCTCACTCATTTATGCCAAGAAATTTAGAAGACATGCCTATTTGTGCTTCTTACAATGAAATGGGACATGGAACCTATTGAATAATAGTTGTACACACAAGTTAAATAATGCTATAGATAATTTTTAAATTGCTGCTGCAGCACATGGATAGGGATCTGCCAGAAATTTCAGGCAAATTCAGAAGAGGACATGGAATGCGGACTATCACTGCTGATGGATTTTGGCTAAAAACAGAGAATACCAAAAAGATATCTGTGTCCTATTGACTATGCAAGGGCATTCAACTCTGTGGAGCATAACAAATTATGAAGCATTACAAAGAATGGGAATTCCAGAATATTTTATACTAAGTTGTGCTCATGCCAAACCTTGTTCCATCCTTCAGATGGAACAAGGGGACACTGCATGGTTTCAAATAAGGAAAGGTATGTGTGAAGGTTGTATCCTTTCACCATACTTATTAAATATAAAGGCTGAGCAAATAAACTGAGAAGCTGGACTACTTGGAAAAAGAATGCTGCATCATGTTTGAAGGAGGATTCATTAATAAGCTGTGATATGTCGATGACATAACCTTGCTGATAGTGAAGACAATTTAAAGCACTTACTGATGATCAAAGACTTCAATATAGGTTACAACTCATCCTCACAACTAAACCAAAAACAGCATCACGATAAACAGAAAAGACTGAAGTTGTTAAGGATTTCATTTTACTTGGACCTACAATCATTGACCATGAAAGCAACAGTGAAGAAACCAAACAACATATAGCATTGAGTAAATTTTAGATCCACAATCTATGCCCATGGAAAGAGAACACACTGGGAAAATTTTTTTTATCAATGACATATTAGACAAAGGACTAATCTCCAAGATTTACAGAAAACAACACCACAACAAGAAAAAAAAGACAATCCAATTTAAAAATGGGCAGAGGACATGATGAGACACTTAAGACATTCAGACAGCAATAAACATATGAAGAAAGGCATGCGTTCCTTAGCCATTGTTGTCAAGTGTCATCTAGTCGATTCCAACCCATAACGACCCTGTATAGGGTTTCCAAGGAGCAGCTGATGAGCTTGAACCGCCGAACTTGTAGTTCAAACGGCTTTGCAGTCTGGTGCTTTAACCCACAGCACCACATCAGGACTCCTCATTAGCCATTGTTGTTGTTGTTAAGTGCCGTCGACTCATAGTGACCCTGCACAGGGTTTCCGAGGCTGTAAATCTTTACAGGAGCAGAATGCCTCATCTTTCTCCTGCGGAACCGCTGGTAGTTTCGAACTGCTGACCTTTGGCTCACAGCCCGATTCGTAACCACTACGCTACCATTAGAACAATGCAAATAAAAAACAATGTATCTCATCTCAGCATTAATAGCAAAGTGAAAAACAACAGAAAACAACAAATGCTGGCAAGGTTGTGAAGAGACTGGAACCCTCATACACTGCTGGTGAGATTGTAAAATGGTATGGTGCAGCCTTAAAAAGTTGGAAATAGAAAAGCCGTATGACCTAGTAATTCCTCTAATTAGTATATATCCTAGGTCTGCATCAGTGACAAGTAAATTCTTCCCCTTTATAGTGTTCCACATAACTCTTAGAGTTTCTTAATTTTTCTTCCTTATCTAGTTGTTCCTCAAACATATTAATAGCAAGGGATTTGTCCTCTATTTCATGGAATTTTTTCTTACATTGATTAATTCTACTTCTATGTCTTTCCACTGAATTATCTATTTCTGATGTTTTATTGTTCATGTTTTGTATAATTTCTAATCATCTGTTCTTGCATTGTTTTCCTGAATTATTCTAGAGTTTTGTCTGTGTTTTCCTATATCTGAGTCTTTTGAATTTCTTATCAGGTAATTCTATTTCTTCCTCAGGAAGGGTTTCTGTCTCTTTATATTGTTTGTTCACTTTTTTACATCATCTTACTCTGTTTCTTCATATGATTTATTATTGTCTGACTCTGAAACATTTGTTGTTAGGTGCCATCAAGTCAACACCAACTCATAGCGACCCTGTGGCACAACAGAATGAAACGCTTGCCTGGTCGTGGGCCAGCCTCACTATCATTATGTTTGAGCCACCACTCTGCCTATCCATCTTGTTCAGAGTTTTCCTCTTCTCTGAGCCTCCACCTTACCAAACATGGTATCCTTCTCCAGTGACTGGTCCCTCCTGACAATATGTCCGAAGTATGAAAGACAAAATGTGGACATCCTGGCTCTCAAGGACCCCTCTGGCTGTACTTTTTCCAACACACATTGGTTTGTTCTTTTGGCAGCCCATGGTACTTTAACATTCTCTTCCAACACCATAACTCATATCCATCAATTCTTCTATGGTCTTCCTTATTTACTGTCCAACTTTCGCATGCATATGAAGTTATGAAAATACCCTGGGTTGGGTCAAGCACACCTTAGTCCTTAAACTGACATCTTTGTTCTTCATCACTTTAGAAAGGTCTTGTGCAACAGGTTTGCCTAATGCAATATATCATTTGATTTCTTGACTGCTGCTTCTCTGAGTGTTGATGGTAGATCTGAGCAAAATGAAGTCATTGACAACTTCAATCTTTTCTCCATTTATATGGATATTATTTACTGGTTCTGTGGTAAGGATTTTTGTTTTCTTTACATTGAGGTACAACCCATACCAAAAATGTGGTCTTTGATCATCAGTAAGTATTTTAAGTCCTCTTCACTTTCATTAAGCAAGGTTATATCATCTGCGTATCGCAGGTTGTTAGTGAGACTTCTTCCAATCCTGATTCCGTGTTTTTCTTCATATAATCCAGCTTCTGTGATTAATTGTTCAATATACAGGTATTTATTTATATATTGACTGATTGTATGAATGTTTGTTTTGTGTTGGGTTTTTAAATTTTGTTTTGATGTATCCAGAGCTTTGTTTCTTCTCCTTATCATATCTCCCTTCCTTTATATTAACTGTTGTTTTGTGGTTCTGGTCTATGTATGACTTTAATGCTGAGTCCTTACTAGTGGAGTAGGTCTCACTCCCATGTAGTTAGGCTCATGTCTTCCCTGGGCAGACTGAGTGGAGGTACAGATCCTTCCCTGTTATTGGGATACAGATGTTGGGTAGTCAGGGTTCTTTTGTAGTCTTTGTGGGACCATGAAGTCCTTCTGGGTTACTACTAGGTTAGTGTGTTCTGTGGTAATCAGGACAGGACATCTCTGTAAGAGGTGGTAGTAGTAGTTGGTGTTTGTGTGTTGAGTCGTTTTCCAAGGCAGTCAATCTTTATGGGAACAGAAAGCCTCATCTTTTTTCCCATCTAGTGGCTTGTCCATTTGAAATTTGACCTTGCAGTTAGCAGCCCAACATGTAGCCACTAGGCCCACTGTGCATGATGAACAAATTGGCATTTCAGTCAGTCGTGGCATTTCGAGGAGTTTCAGTGGGAGTGCAGATGACCTGCAGGGATAGTCTGGGTGTGGGATGCAATGCTGTTGCAGCCGGGTAGACACTGGATGAGGGCACTAGTACCTCCTGCTCATCAGGTCAGAGGTGTTCTGTCTCTCACCAGGACATGGTGCAGGAGTACTTGTGCTACTCACTGGTTGGGTGGTATGTGTGCTCATTACCTGCTGTTGGATGGTCAGGGATGGGGTACATAGGTCAGATGGGAACTTGTACCACCAGTTGATGGGCAGGTGGGATGGCAGGGTCAAGGGAGGCAGCAGTCATACCTCAAGTCAGTGGTCCAAGTGGGCACTAGTGAGCCTCTAGTCACAAGTTTGACCACATGGGAAAGGATACTGCAGGGGTGGGCACGAGCCTCTGGCTACAGGTCCCATTAATGGCATGGAAGTAGTGTGTGCTATGGGGACAGGCTGGGGGAACGTGAACTTCCGTTCATAGGTCTGATGGTGAGGAGTGTGCACTGCAGACTGGCAGGCTAGGGTAGGGCGAAGGGGGCTCACTGTTCTTCCCTACGAGGGTGGGGGGGGGAGCATGTTTCCTCAGTTTCTGGTGTGGGCATAGGGCACTTCCCACAGAGTAAAGGCAGCAGTCAGGACCCAGCCCTAGCCAAATGCCAGAGGGGGGAGGCTGCCCAGATTCTGGTCATGTGGGGGATCTCTAGCTGCCACTTCAGGCAGCCTCCACTCCAACAGACTGAGCCTGGTGAGAGTTCTCTTCCTATTTTCTGGTTGCCTGGATCCCTAAGCTTCTCGCTCACCTTTCTTCACTTTCCCTCCTTCAATCCAGTTCACATTCTCTAGCTTTGCCCCAGGTTTGTCTAGACTCGCTCTCTATTTCCTGTTAAAGATTTTGTGAAGCTGCCTTCTGTGCTCCTCACACTGGCATGCTGTTCATTCTATTTCAAGATGGTCGTCTGCGCTGGGCCAGTGGCAGGCAGCATCCAGTTGGTGAGTCTCCTCACTTGCTGTTTTCATTCAATTTGTCTTTCCTTTCAGTGTTTGATCTAATTCTTCATCCTTCCATTTGCTATTCTGGGTTTCCAAATTTCATCTGTCTCTGTTTCAGTTCTTTACTGTAGAGGGATGGCATGGTGTGTGTGACAAAGACACTATCTGGGGTCATTTCCTTCTCAATTAATTTATATGGTTCAAGTCGGTTCCAACTCATAGTTCAACTCTGTATAGGATTTCTAAGGAGTAGCTGGTGGGTTTGTTTGAACCACTGATCTTGCAGGCAGCAGTCCAATGCTTATCATACAGTGCTACACCAGGACCCCTTATATGTGGTAGTTTTCATTAATTTCTAGCTGGAAATCATGGGTTTTCCAGGAATCATCTTTGTTCTACCAGGTAGATCTGGATAACCTCCACTTTGGTGCTGCCATGACACAGGAGAGTCACAGCTCCATTGACCTTGAACTCTTTCTTCCTCTCAACCAGTACTGTTCAGTTTCAGCCCAAGTGATTTCTTTGGTTGGCTTCCAGTTGTAGGTCTCGAACATCTTGGTGGTTCACTTCATCAACTACAGCTGAGAATCTGGGCTGTTGTTGTGTTAAGTGCTGTCGAGTCGGTTCTCAGTTGTAGCAACCCTGTATGGTGTTTCCAAGCTGTTGGGTTTGAACCACTAACCTTGCACATTGCAGCCCAGTGCTTACCCTGAAGAGCCATGTCTAGACTTCTTTTGACGCCTGGTGTGGCACTGTAGGATCAGCACTGGACTGTGAACCACAAGGTTGGCAGTTCAAACCTACCAGCTGTCCCTTGGAAACCCTATACAGTGTCGCTTTGAGTTGGAACCCATGTGACAGCACTTAACAGCAACAACAGCTCAATGCATAGAAATACATCTGAAATGCTGTACACAAAAATTCCTATTCCTGTTTTCTAATGTTCCTACCATGAACATACTCATGTACTACAGAAGTAATAGTTGAACCTTTTCCCTCAAAGAGGGAAAAAAAACCCTTAATGTTCTTTTGATTGAAATATATCTGATATGTGAAATAAATTTGGCACTTAAAAATGCAGGGAAGAAGCACCTTGTTGTACTCTCAAATGGTAGAAACTGTATTTGGCAGCTCAGGAGATGGCAGTCATCTTGCAAAGTGGAATGTAGGACAGCAGGAGACAGCCCCGGCTTTGCAGACCTCAATGAAAGAGCTGGGCCAGCGGAGAAGGCTGTCTTCTCCACAGATGACTAGTGGGATGGGGTGGGGGTGGGGGGGGTGCCTGGATGGCAGGCTTACCTGTCTGCATCAAAGGAAGAGATCCAAGAATCATAGTTGAGGTTGTAGGCCAGGATAGTGGTGTAGTGATTGAATCCCAGAAAGTCATAGGTTCCATTGATCCTCCGCTTCTCACTCTCAGTAAATTCAGGGAGCCTGGGGAGAATGAGTCATTCAGTGTGTGGGACTTTAAGAATGGGGTGCGGTGGGGCAGGACTCCGAACTAGAGGGCCAAGATGTGTGCTGTAAAGGTGGTAGCTATTTTAAACCCTCACAGCTGAGCTACACAGGGATGTTTGGGGGAAAGACCCAAGGATGTGTTACGAATTTTTATCTTCTGAACTCCTTTTACTCTACCTGATTTGGTTCATTTGAGCCACTTTAGAACTGGGTGTGTCACTGTGGGACTGTCACTTGTCCCCTTCCACACACAAGGCTAATCTCAGATCACTCAAACCCAGAGTGTGGGCGTTGGAGTCAGACTGCCAGGTTTCAAATCTCCATCACTTAATTGCTGAGTGACCTTGCCCTAATCTTTGTGCCTCCACTTACTTGTCTTTAAAGTAGAACTAAAACTCTCAATAAAAGATAAATATTGTTGATGTTGCTATTACTTCCTTGGTAGGAAGAGGGGTGAAGTAAGGAAATGGTCCAAATAACCTACTAGCCAAACAACTAACAGCACCCAGCGGGCCCAGACATGGCTATCTATGTGTATAAGGCAGAGCTGATGAATTTGTCCTCGGAGTGAAACAGCAGGGTTGCTAAGAGATGGGGGCCCTTAGGAAAGATGATCTGATGTTTTGAAGAATAAAAGCCTAACAACCTCTCTCCCTCACTGTCTTTGTCAAGTAGTGCCAGGTCCTGGGCTTTACACAAGTGAGGAGCTCATGTGCAAGGTTACTTGCCTGAGACGTGCCTCTCTGCCTCCACTGTCTGTCCAGGAATTTCCGTCTGGGACCACAGACGGGACTGCCCTGCTGCTCTCCTGGCTGAGGGTGGGCACAGGAACTTACCGTGACTTGCTGAGGCCTGCGGCCAAGCTCCTGGCACGGATCCGCGTCTTCATCACCTCGTTGTAATCTCCATTCTTGAAGATCGGATGTGCAAACCAGCCTCCCATAAACTGCAGGTGGGGTTGGGGGACAGTCAAGTGGGCATACCAAGAGGCAACACCATCCCTGATCAGAAACTGTCTTAAACTCTCATGTCCTCCATGCCTGAGTGCCTGATGGGTGTCTTCACTGGGGTTTGTTTCCTTAGCTACAATCTCAACTCAGCCAGGCTGTGTTCTCCCCATCATTTCACACCTTGAGGGGAGAAGGGAGTTGAGCACGGGTTCTGGTGCTCAGTAAATGCTGCCCTTAGAAGTGTCACATACTGGGCTACCCGCAGAAGAGGAGGGAGAAACATCAGTCGGCAGGCCCTTGATTCCATTTCACTATAGGGCAAGTGCTATAAGAGAAGACTTTTTAAAATTAATGGCCTGTTTTTTCCTTTCGAAATACCTATGGATCAAGCAGAACTTTCTGGGAAGGAGTGATTTATTAGGCTTTCTTGACTGCCTGGACAGGCAAAGGATAATCCTTCAATGTGGGCTTTGGATTCACAGCTCCAAAGTGGGAAACTCTGCCATCTATTTTCTTTAAGGAGGTCTAAGTCATCCATCATCCAGGCAGTATTTCATTCTATTATGTAAAGGGTCACTTTGCGGTGGAGTCAATCCGACGGCACCTAACAACAAGAAGTCATTTTGGAGTTCCTGGGTGGTACAAATAGTTCGTTGAAAGGTTTGAGTCCACCAAGAAGTGTCTTGGAAGAAAGGCCTTGTAATCTATTTCAGAAAAATCAATCATGGAAAACCCTATGGAGTACAGTTCTAACATACATGGTGTCCCCATGAATCAGAATTCACTGGATAGCAATTGGGTAGGTCATCCTTACATGTCAACCAAACACTATGATGCTATGGATTTGAGGAACTTCTACCTCTTCAAATCTTTCCCTCACTTGTTATCTGATGCCTAAAATGTGGGGTGGGGGCAGGCTTCCATTTCAAAATTAGAAATGAGATTTGGAATGTATGCTCCCTGTAAAGAGGTTTAAATATGCTCTAACATGACAAATCAGATATTCTTGTAGAATCAGATTTTAAGAAAGCAATGTGCTTGATCATAGTCCTGGGCTGAAGTACTACAGTTTACCAATAAGTGGTCTAATCTAATATGCAGTCTAACATCTCTTGAGGTTTGGGAGTTTGATTTCAGCAAAACAAATCATTATTCTACTTCACGAGTTCAGTGAGCTGAAATGAAGTCAGTCAGGCTCCACCACATTCCCCAAAGTGGAGCCATCTGGAGGGGTCTTTGCCTTTTTTTCCTGAGGCTAAAATATGGGCACATGTTTACCCTTTCAGAGGCAGGAGCCAGGGACAAGCTGTGCCATGAATGAAGGTCACTCTTCAGTCCCTCTTGTCAGGAACTCAGATGGAAATAAGGATGGGTCATCTTGCTTACTGCTTACATGTGTCTCTACTTCCTAGAAAGCAGCAATGGGGCAAAATCCCTAGACCAAAATACATATGTCCTTACACTACAGTTATGGAATTGGAAAATTAGGGGCACTGTGGTGCTGTAGGATCAGCACTGGACTGCGAACCACAAAGTCAGCAGCTCAAACCCACCAGCAGCTCCCTGGAAACCCTATACAGGGTTACTATGAGTCAGAACTGTCTGGATAGCACTTAACAACAATGGATTTCAGAGACCCTAAAGGAGCTCTGGTAGCATAGTGGTTACAAATCGGGCTGTGAACCACAAGGTCAGCAGTTCGAAACTACCAGCTGTTCCATGGGAGAAAAATGAGGCCCTCTGTTCCCAGAGGCTACAGCCTCTGAAACCCTATACAGGGTCACTATGAGTCAGAACCCACTCCACGGTACTTAACAACAACAAAGCTTAAAACCAAAGCTAGCAAAACTTCATCTCCCTTACTTTGAACATTCAGAATGTCTCTGGAGAAGAACATTATGCTTAGTTGAGAGTCAAGAGAAAAAGAGGAAGACCCTCCAACAAGATGGATTGATACATGGCTACAACAATGGGCTCAAACAGCAATGAATGGAGGATGGCACAGGACTGGCAGTTCCCTTCTGTTTGGTAGAGGGTCACTAGGAGTCAGAACCAGTGCAATGGCACCTGACAACAACGAAGCCCCAACTTAAGAAATTCTTGAACCCAAAACCAAACCTATTGTTGACTAGTTTCTTACTCATAGAGTAAGTATAGGACAGAGTTGTTAAGTGCCATTGGGTTGGTTCTGACTCATAGTAGGTTTTCAAGGCTGTAAATATTTGCAGGAACAGAAAGCCTCATCTTTCTCCAGTGGAGTGGTTGATGGACTCAAACCACTAACCTTGTGGTTCATAGTCCAGTGTTTATTCTACAGGGTAGAACTGACCAATAGGGTTTCCAAGGCTGTAACCTGGACTGCTAAGACGGCAGTTAAAGCCCACTAACCACCTCTTGAAAACCCTATACAGGGCTCATTATGAGTAGCCACATCTACCTCTCATGGTGCAGCTGGTGGGTTCAAATCACTAGCCTGTAAATTAGCAATGAAGTACGTACCCACTGTGTCACCAGGTCTTCCTAAGAAATTCTTAAGTTGGAGTACATAAACTGAGATGGTGACACCTAGAGGTGAAGCATGGCATTGCATCCCAGCTCTAGTACATACCATAGTCAACCCAGAAAGATTAAAGAGATGGCATCTATTAATTAGTTGTAAAGCCATGTTACATCCAGTAAGGATTACATACATAAATGACTTAATAAGGCTTAAAGGAAATTTAGCCTCAGAGAATTTAAATCACTTTCATCAGAGCCTACTTGTAAGGTGAGTAAGGCAAATCCATATCACAGATGAGAAAAATAAAGTACAAAAAGTTAGGTAATTTTCCCAAGCTCATGAAATAGGTAATAGCAAAACAGGGTCTAAATTCTAAATCTTTGATTTACAATCTAATTTTATTTCCATTAGACTGTGATAAAGGGTAAAAGAGGTGAGTGAGAGTAAAAATAGTTCCCAAAAGAAAAACAAACCTGAACATATCTCCTGGCTGCCTCCACATCCTCCTGGTTGGAAGGGTTTCTGGGCTCAGCCCAGTCACTGTTGATGGTGATGGAAATGATGCCACCTTGTGTGGCACGGTACTTGTCATTATACAGATGCCAGGCCTCAGCATGAGCCTTTATTAAGTTGTGGCCAACAATGTAGGGTGCAGTGCCAGGCCGAAAGGAGATTCCTAGAAACACACACATGGATGTCATTAGAGAATGAATGTGACTTAGAGGGTTACTGCAGATGTCTACTATTCATTTGGAGAAAAGAGGTAAGAGGACTAAAATGAAAAGCTTGCTCCATCTTTTCTTGGCTGGTTGAATAAGTTTGGACAAATAATTCGGCATTTTGGTACAACAGTCAATGCAGAGCCCTTGTGAGATGAAAATGAATGAATGCATGTGAACTACCCTGATGACCACAGACATAGACAGCCCCGACTTGTGTCCACTCCCAGTGGATCTCCTGCTGGAAGCATATAAAAATGTGTGGGTATCAGCAGCACCAACCCTGGCACCTGGGATCAGGTGTGGCCTACTCCAGACCTACAGAGCTTCTTCTGGCTAGCCATAGACTAGCAGGTTCTCTCTTCTTTGGCTACCCTCTGGGACAGAAATACACTGATCCCCCAATTGCTATGGGGTCTGCATAAACTACTTTCAGATTTGGTGCCCAGAACTGATAACACCTAGCCCTACAGGACCTACATCTAGGACTGGATCGCCCCTGTCTCATCCCTTGCCCACCCACCATGTGAGGTGCTTTACTGGCAGGAGACACCAGAATTTTCTCCTCTCTAGGCCTGGCACCTGCCCCTGGTTTGTTCTTTCACTGTTTTCATTTGTTTATTGATTCTTCCTCTTCTTCCTCCCTCTACCTACCCTTGATTTTATTCGTTCTGTTTTTTGTTGTTTTTTTTTCTGTTTTTCTATACCAACTGCTGCTGCTTCACACTTTTTATCTCTCTCTTCTTTTACTAACTCGTTTCTTTACTACTTTCCCTTTTCACTCATCTTTTTCCCTAAGAGTTTTGAGTTCTTTTCCTTTTTGTCTCTTATTTTTTTCTTAAATTGTGTAAAAACTTTATTTTTTTACCTCTTACTCTTTTTATTTTGGTTGTCATGTTTTCAGTGGTTGCCTGCTTCCCTCCCTGCTTCTCTCTTGTGTGTGTTTTCTCTTCTTGCCTCACCCAACGGGACAACCATGCCCATACAGCCCAGCCATAACCATACTCTCTACAATCCCATCCACTGCACAAGAGCCAATACCAGTTGCTATACACCTGATCAAAAAGACCAGACTAACCCAGCATCCTAAAACGAGTTGCATCAACTGCGAAGAGAGAATGGTGCCCATACTTCCAGCCCCTAATCACACCCACCAGAAAGTAGTTGGTGAGTGCTAAGAATACGCCAACATACAATCACCAACTTAATACAAATACAACACCACAAAATCTTGGAAGCAAAAGATCAATTCTGTTCACACAAAGAAACAAGACAAAGTGACCAAGAGGCAGAGCTACAGGAAAAAAAGACACTGGAAGTACCTGTAAAATAATTCAAATGAATGATACGTAGGTATCTCAAATGACTGAAAGAATGGTCAAGGAAAACAAGGAAGAAAACAGGAAAACACTACAAGAACAAACAAAATAGGATGGGAAACTGTTAATCAGCAAAGAGAAGTCTAGCAAATGAACACTAAGATTTCAGAAATGTACAATACATTGAAAGGGCAAAGGAGCAGGTTTGACTAATTGAAGCACAAATTGTTTAGCTTGAAGAAAAACATCTTGGTATTGATAAGATAGAAGAATAATCAGAAAAAAAGAATGAAAAAAATCCAAAGAAAGCCTAAGATTCGTGTGGGACACAATGAAGAGGACTGCAATTGTAGAAAAGGATGATACCAAAAAAAAAAAAAAGAAAAGAAAGTCAAAAAATTGTTGGAATAAAATTTCCCTAACATCATGAAAGAAGAGAAGGTAAGAATTCAAGAAGCTCAAGGAACCCCAAAAAGGATAGATCTCCAAAGAAAATCTCCAAAATCAAAGACAAGGAAAAAATCCTGAGGGCAGCTCGGGAAAACAATGAATTCAGCATAGACAATTACATGGAACAAAGAAACCAGCAGCACCACAAAAAAAGTACAAAGCCAAATGACAGGAATCAATTCATATCTTTCAAGAATTACAAGGGAGCCACACACAGGATGAAATATCTAGGAGTAAATGTAACCAGAGAAATAAAGGACTTATACAAAGAAAACTACAAAACACTACTACAAGAAACCAAAAGAGACCTCCATAAATGGAAGAATGTACCATGCTCCTGGATAGGAAGACTTAACATTGTGAAAGTGTCAATACTGCCCAAAGCAATTTACACATATAATGCAATCCCAATCCAGATTCCAACAACATTCTTCAAAGAAATGGAAAAAAAACAATTACAAACTTCATATGGAAAGGAAAGAGACCCAGGATAAGCAAAGCACTGCTTAAGAAGAATAAGGTTGGAAACCTCTCACTCCCTGACTTCAAAATTTACTACACAGCTACAGTGGTCAAAACAAAATGTTTTTTGTTTTTTTTTCATGGTTACAATCCTCTCCATGCATCATCAACCAACCAAAAGATATACCCTGCAATCCTTCCCCCGTACCCCCAGGTCTTCAGCACACAGCCCCTCTGCCTCTCTGGATCTAAAGTCTCCAGCTGCTCCATCGCTCCACGTCATCTCTGGCTCCATTTCAGTCATCACTGCCTCTCTAGGTAGGGTCTTGCTCTCCGCTCTTCTCCCTTGATGATCCCAGGGACTTCCGCTCCTAGACTGAAAAGTTAATCACTCCCCTTCTTACTATAAAACATCTACCTTTACATTTCCAATCCTCACAATCAGTCCTGATAACAATTATCCACTATTGTATCACAAGAGACCCATCTGCATTTCATTGCATCAGCCCTGCCTAGTCAGATTGAATACTACTCACTGGAGATTCTACCTTCCTCCAAACCCTCTGGATCTAGGTTCCCTCTTGAAAACTTGTAAGCCAGTCACTTCTTGCCTTTGTAGCCCCAGCCAACTGATTTTTGACAAAACACCTAAATATATCACATGGGGAAGTGACAGTCTCTTCAATAGATGGTGCTGCCAGAACTAGAAAGCAATATGCAAAAGATTGAAACAAGACCTTCACCTCACACCTTAAATAAAAACCAACTCAACATGGATTA